TGCATCATAACTTGTATACATCACAGCTTCACCTGGAAATTGATCAATCAATGCACCATTTATTTCATCAACAGACTGATTCCATGGGCACAAAATGCACCGATTAATCATGACATATTGCTGCTTCAGAAAAGGCCAACATCCCCAAATACATTTTCAACCAACATGTCCAAAATAATATCAAGTAGTGTCAAACATAAGCAAAAAATTAGTAACTAACAAAGAAGGAAAATAAATACAAGTACCAATTGCATCAGTACATACCTTCAAAGAGATGATACAAACCCACCATACAAAAACACAACATGGGAAGGCAACACAATGTTTTACTCAATCCGAGTCAACCCACCCCTCACCAACTTGAAGTACAAATTCACAAAATCAAGGATCTAATCATGCACGCATGTTCTGCTTAAGCTTTAATTTAACCAAGCTATGCCACAACGGGATAGAAAAATACTACATTTTATAAGTGACGAATTGGTTACATTTCTCACAATAGGAAGCAGCTGCCTAAAAACACTTCCAAAAACAACCATTTTACCACCAAGAACTACATCACTTGACATAATATCCTGTAATAATTTCTCAAATGCATCTATTGAATTTTTACTTGCCATTGCTGCCTCATTCCATACAATTAGCTTTGTTTTCGCAAACATTTTTCCAATAGCACTTTGCTTGTTAACAGTATAATTCTTGCCCTTCAAAAAATCAATTGGGATCATAAAACGAGAATGAGCAGTCTGTCCTCCTGGTAAATGGAAGCCACAACTCCAGAAGACGCAGCAGCAAGAGCAATACCTTTTTTCTGACCTAATCGTAGCCAACAAGATCATGTACCAAAAGATCTTTCCATTTTACCTTTTTTTCTTAAAATTAGATAATTAGAATAAGAAGCAGAGTTATCAAAGGATTTTTAGACAAATCATTTTTAGACATACTCTTAGTCAACATATTTGAATATTTCTTACGCTTTAAAAAAAGAACTGTCATGGGATTATAGGAATCTTTGTAAGGCAGTTTCTTAGTGTAATATGCATCAGAACCGTCATGGAGTTTTTTAGAAAAACTTTTGTACTTTGGATTCTCTTTTGTTTAGGTAAGTCTTAAGCACTACTCTTTGTATTCTTTATATTATATTTATAGAATTGGGGTCCTCTCACCAGGCACCGCCCTGGATTTTCAGCAAAAGCGGGGCCTTCCCCAAAAAAATCCCAATTCCACCATCAGGGCCCAGCAAGCAGCATAATTCTATTCCGAGGCTGCCTTTCATTCCAGCAACAGTAGTATATGGTTCAAAACGCCTTGTTCCATCTGGCGCGAATCCCCTCCATCACTAGTAAAGTGGAGGTGTTATTTGTATTGCAATAATGAATAAATGTACGAACACAAATAATGAGCAGACCTGCCCCACGTTTATATGTGGCTTCTTTAGAATGGTTTTTCTCGTACTGTGTAAACGAACTTCTTGCTCTTGTTTGGCGCTTCTATTTCTATATGGAATCTTCTTCTTACTGACCGACTAGCTGACAGGAAGCGAACTAATTCCGCGAGAACGATAGCCAGAGGAAAGTAAGTTCCTATTGCCTCTATATCTTTACTTAAAAAAAAAGGGTGGAACAAACGGACGAACCGCCTCGCTTCCCCTCCTTTGGTGTAGAGTCGATTCCTCTCCTTCTATCAGAGAAATGAAGTGAGAGGGACGAGAGCTGTTTTTGGAATGTAACAAAAAAACTCAACCCTGACTGCAAATACACAGCACTAATGATCACATCAGAAGCACTCTTATGATCTTCATTCAACTGTAAATGCACAGCACACTCCGATTCAGAGACAACTATATTCTGCTCAAAGTCAATCTCCCTAAAACCTTCCATACATCGACTCTTCTCCACAATTGATGGAATAGTTACAAATTCTATCAGACGCCGATTCCTATGTTTGAAAAAAGGCATAAATTGCTTCAAAAGTTTAGACCTTCAAAACATCATCTGAATACATAATAGAACAAGCCTAATAGGAAAATCTACTGATAACTCCTCATAAAAATCCCAAAACAGATTTCGTTAGATCATCTGGGCTACAAATAATAATAGCAACAGCAAAAAAATATCGCAATGCAGATGGCATTTCAGTGATAGCGATTTCACTGAAAGTTTCCTCAACATATGAATCACTATGCAGAAATCCATGTTTCAAACATGCATCACAAAATGAAGCAATATCTGACCTGACACAGTTAACAAATCTGTAAAAGAAGTGGGACCGGGTATACAAGACAAAAAAATATGGGGATAATATTTTCCCCCTTCTTTATGACTAACAGTCACAACCCTCACAATAATATCACCTTTCTTACGAAAACTCCACACTTTGTCATGACCATTCCATACAAAATAACACATAAAATCTTTGTTCAATAGATTCATAGCTCTAGCACCAGCATTCCACCTATTCATAGCAAAAAAATTTTGTTAACATGGTCTTCCTATAATATGAACTATTAACAAGACGATCGAATCTAGTATGCTTCCTAAACGACACCAAATGCTTTCCTTCTAAATGCACTTGCAAAGGATACATTGCAGGAGTTATCTCAAAAAGAGCAAAACCATACATCCTTTACATCAATTTCGAAGGTCCTAACCAGCGAGCATCTTGAAAAGTTTTAATTTCATCAACAATAGATTCTTTATTAACATAAGCAACATAACAACTTACCCTTGCAAAACGCTTATAGATACACTTATACATATACTTCACCATATGAACACCATAACATATTTCAACATTAAAATAACAATCAAATTTTGCAAGTAAATAAGGATTATACGGAACAACCCATCGATTATGCAACACATAACTTTTTATGCTAGCCCAACAACCATCATTCTTATGGTGCTAAATAGGATGCCCATTTTCGACACGCACAAAATACTCAAAAAACTCTAGAAGATAATTTTCTTTACACACACCATCACACATACAAACACATTTTTTGTTCATTCGATCACAAAGACCATACACCATATGCCAAACAACAAGTTCATGCAAATACAGATATCTCTATTTTATCCGGCAACTCAGCACAAACCAACATGTCTTAAGATTCAGGACTAGAAGGCTTAAATTTAGGTTTCAATATTACAGGTATGAGGCATACCTCGTTTTTTAAACTCTGAACGTGCACACATACCAACACTTTTGCAAAAATCTGCCTGCCCCTAACTTCTTCTTTTAGTTTCTGCAATTTCAACCTAAACACCCTTGCTAACAAATCAGGCCTATCAATTGAAGACTCGCTATGTTTCATTTTTTTTCTTTGATTTCAACCCATTTTAGATTACAAGTCACTGTCAGAAATAAATCAGACTTACAAAACTTTTGCACCAAAACCATTGTGTCATAGTAATGACTACGCGTATCCCTTGGACTCCCAACAAAAGAAGCTGGCAAGATAGTATTTCAACCAATTTCATATCATCAAAACTATCAACAACACTACTATGGATCTCAGTCCTGTACTGATTTTGATCACGCCAGATATATGTCAATCGTTGTGTTTCAACCTTTATATAATAACTAACCACAAATTGTTGCAATAACCTAAGCGAATGCACCAAAATCAACTCATTCAGTATCACAAATCTGAAATTTATAACTATAATACTGTCGAGCTGTAACATATTCTTTCTCCTTAAAAACACCAACAGATACTACAATGAAATACTACCTCATCTCTCGAGGAAGCCGTGAGATCGATTTTTCCTAGAAGTACGGGAAAGAGAAGTTAGGATGTGTAAAGAAGAATAATAAGTAATGACGTTAAGAGAAAAAAAAAAAAAAAGAAAGAAGCACTCTTTCGCACTTTATCGTTTTCATGAGGATGACATTTGCCACACACATAGTGATTGTATTAATTACTTCTACAGCACTACAAAGTAGGCACCAACTAAACATGCCATCATCACTAAGAAAGATGTACAAGTAAAGCACACACCACCTGCAACGATAACCAATTTAATTGATATTGATTTTTTATTTTATTAATTTTTTTTGCGATTACTCGTTCTATCTTTTAGAAAAAAATAAGAGATAGTTATCCAAAAATAGTTTAATAATACACAATTTTTATTTTATAACTGACAAAGTATGAAGGAGAAATGAGATGAATGATTTGAACTCGGTAATAATTTACTTTATTAGAATGGTTCCATTTTAGTGCAAACAACATATGTGAGTATTAGAGAAATACTATTTCCTTTAGGCTTAGGATCCATTAGTAAAATGGCTTCATCGGAAACATGGTGACAAAAGTCATAAAGAAATACTAATGACCTACTTCATATTTTCTTCATCTTTACCCTTCCTTGTTTTTGGAAATCATCATCGATCATCATGTAGGGTGGAAATGGAAGCCTTGGTTTGTGCTTGATTGTTAAGTCCTCAATTTACACCATCGCTTGGGCTCAGGCCTTACTATTCCTGAAGCCCTCGTACATGAACGAAGCCACCAGGCACCACTAGCTAAAACACAAAAAAATTGGAAATCGTAGTGGTAGCAAATTTTCTTTGGAAAAAAAAAAAATAATAGTAGTATTGATACTTGTTTTGTATTGCCTTTGAACTTTTCATTCGTAAATTTAGTTCACTTTGAAAGCTTAAAATTTGGGGGGCGGGGGAACAAAAGCAAACAAAAGCAAAAGTATAACACATCCGATGAGAACTCGCAGAAGTCACTTTGACCTGCCTATTTGATAAAAATTAATACTTAATTTTAAATACTTAATACTGAATTAGAAATGTTGAATTCATTAAATAGTTATAGAATAAGCAATAAGGTAATTTTTATTGTTTATATTTTGCAGTTTCGACACCACTTAATTCATTAAGAGGTTCATCTTTTTGTTATCAAACATGCTTAATTGAAAAAAGTACTTAATGAAATAATTTTAAGCATTAAGTGGTGTTATCAAACATTAGTCAAAACAATCGTAAAAACACTAACAGCAGCCAAGTTTAATTGTTTTAAATTTTATTTCACTAAACTATGAAAAAATGTTAAAGAGAAATGATTGATTTTAATTACAGAGATTACAATCTGAAAAAAAAAAAAACAACTGTTACAACAATTCAATGTAAGTTGAAACTTCATCGAATCTAGAAAAATGCTTTAATACTTTCTAGTGCCGGTACAAAGCTCGTGTAGAGCGATATTCTGATATCGGCACAACCCTAGATCGATATTCAGTTCTCTCATGCCGATGACGATCAGGTTCTTCTGCAATATACATGGGATCATCCCGATACAATTGGGATTCTCTGCTGCTGTAGAGGTAAGAATCGCGTGCTGGTACAATGTCATTGTGACGCCTCAAATCCAAACTTGTTGGCCGAAAATCACGATGTTCTGGTACTTCATCCTGCCTGTAAGCATCATAGCGATCCAAAATGGTCCCCTGCCTATACAGATCACGGTAGTCTGACAGTGGCCTGTAATCCCTACTCGCCAAGGGTGACAACGGCCTGTGCCGGTAAGCATCCCGAGGCACCAAGGGAGATAGTGAACGCTGCCTATAACCATCGTGAGTTGCCAAGAGTGGTTGTCGGTATGAATCACGACGCTCCACCAATATGTTTTGTCGGTAGGCATCCCTTTCCAAGGGCCTGTCGTAGGTGTATCTAGGAGCATTGATCAGTTGAGGAACAGGATCAACTACAAAAGGTCTATCTATTGGAGATGCAGCTCTGTTCCTTGAACGGATATGGTAATAATCATGACGCCGATAACTATCATCTGAGGCAATGTGCCTACCTCCCTCTAAAACATGAGTCCTGGATCTATCTCGGCGCCCAACTTCATTTACAACCTGAACTCTAGACCGATCTCGATGCACAGAGGATCTATGGGCCTTTGCCCTGCGGATTCTTTCCAACCTCTTAGGTTTGGGGCCTTTGCTGGAAACACTGAAAAGCTTGCACAAATTCTTCACCTGTTATAGGATAAAGTGACAATGATCTCACCATATTTTTCATGCTAAATGATAGTGAAAAACTCAAAACTCAATTATACATATATAACAGGCATATTAAGAGGAATTAAAAGTCAATCAAGGTAATAACATTAAAGATTAAGTTCAATTCCAAGTAATATAAGTTCCGATACCTAACACGGCTAGGCAACTTCTACCTACAAGCTAGCAATCTATTACTTTTCCTTTTCCAAGTGAAACTTAAATTCTGAAAACCTATCTTCTATCTTAAAACTTCTTGTCTCTCTTTAGGATAGGCATCATGATACCGCCAAAACATTATCGGCAGGGTTCTACAAAATATAGGCTGTCAACCAAAAAGAAAGCTGCAAAATACCTGCTCATGATTCAAATGGCAGTCAAATTTCTTCTTTGTGAAGTAATTATCTTTGATAACCTTCCTAAATTTCTCCTCTGCCAATGGTATGCAATCCTCCAGAACAGTAAAGCGTACCTAAAACACAAAATTCAAACGTGTTCACACAGGATTAAGCCCTAGGAATAAATAATTATGAAATAACAAAACAAAAAGCATACTTGCCAAAACACCCATAAAAATACAATCATCTCAAAAACAATAAGCAAACCTGAGATGGAAATTTTGAATTAAATGCGTTAGGTTCAATGTTATAACCCCCACGCCCAGCAGCTTTATAGATTCCATAGAGCAATTTCAGATCAACATCATATAAAAACAGCCTCATGCCTCTATAAATTTTTTCAACAAGATCCCGTTTGCCAGCAGGTAGACCAAGAACCTTGTAGCGATAACAATCATTTTTGGTCTCAGAGCTGCACATAAAAATCATTCCCATGCTCTCAGCTCTCTTAGGAAAATCATTCTTCACACGCCTCGAATTTACTTTATCCTTCTTGTTTGTGTCCCTTTTTCTCAATCTCCTGGTGTTCTTCTTTGAACTTCCTTCACCTTTTCCACCAACCTTTTTCTTTCCATGTCCTTTTTCTCCGTTCACAGGATCATTCTTATTATCTGTTTCTAACATACATTTATCATCAGAAACAACTATGTCCGAATCATTTCTCACAACCTTCTCAATTACCTTTTTCTTCTTCATCATCCTATTCCCAAGCTTGGGCTCCAACTTTCCAACTCCTTTTACCTTGTTCTCTTCCTTACCACTTTCAGTTTCGATGTTTCCATTCGTCTTCTCCAACGATTTCTCATCCACATTATGAACTCCTTTTTCGTCATTTTCGATCTTCCCACTTTCGTTTCCAACAACTCCTCCTTCACTACCTCTGTTTACAGTACCTGGATTAGTTTCCAAACCAACATATTCATCTTCATCCTCATCCTCATCCCCATCCTCCTCATCATCATCATCTTCCTGCATAAATTCATCCTCGTCATCATCCTCATTATCATCTTCATAATCTTCCTGCATAAATACATCTCCGTCATCATCATCATCATCCAAGTCATCATCCCAACAATCATCATCGGAATCATCATCCCTATCTCCCCCACGCCCCTCAAGTTCATTACCAAAGTAGGTATTCTCCTCCTTGTCTTCTCCTCCTTCACCTTTTTCTTCAGCTACTAAAACTCTCTCTTCCCCACCACCATCATCCGAAGCTCCAGAATTCACATCTTTTTCACTTAGCACTTGATGATCAGTCTCAAAAACTGTCTGTAGCGGAACTTCATCCATTGCCAAAGGCTCATTGCCATCCACCTCCACGTTAATTACGGGACTAGTATTAGTTCCATCAAAAGCAGCAGCAACATCCTCCGTCCGACTTAAACCTGAATCCAAAACATCCACCTTCTCAATTTGGTGCAACATTGCCAAACCTAATTACACCATCCCAAAAATCACAATCACAAATCACAAAATACAATACCTATTACAACTTACATGCATTGGCAGACGAACTAAAAATTAAGTAACCCTAACTGGTGCAAGGCGCAATAACAACACAAGGCAAAAAAAATAAAGGAATCCTGAACCGTAATTAACCAAACGAACTAGCTTAATTGGTTAAAGCAACAGAGTTTTTGAACTGCACAAACGGGAAGAAGAACCTCACCTGCCACTGTCGGCGAATATCCGAAGAGGAAGGAGATGGGATAAAAGAATAATAGATCTGATTGATTTCAAAAATCAAAGACACACATACCTCCGGATACCCTGCGGCTTAATCCCAAATTCTGTCTTTCGATTTATGATCCAAGGAAGAAAGGGGACGCCAATCGGTGTGACTGGAATAAAACTATGGCGTCAATTCTTCAAGAAGCCGTCAAAGGGGAAAAAGAAGAGGTAAAAAAATTGGTACTCTCTTTACCTTCCTTATTTTGAGATAAAAAATAATCTTTTACCATTCTCCTTTTTTTCAACTTTCAGACCGTAATTCATGACAAATATATATAACTATTGGCGGTAACGTCATCCATTCTGTCCCGCTTTCTTTTCTCTTTGCCCTAGAGAGGTACAGACCTCAATCCCAGTTTTCTGAATTATTTCTGCTTAGCATATAGTCGCAGTACCTGTACCCGTTGATGTCAATTCATGGTTTGTGTTTTTAACTAATCGTTGCCGGATTTTTGTCCTCCAGCTTCATTATGGCAATTTCAGTCTGCTACTCAGCAATGGCGGACTCTTCTCCGTCGTCCGCCATTATAACTTCAACACTAAATCCGTGTTGCCGGTGGTTGGGTCCGGGATAAGGTAATTTTTCCCCCAAAAATTTTCTTATCTCGTATTCTTTCTGTGCTCACATGTTTGTTGGACTCATGCTATCTGGAATTTTCACCCGAATGTATGTTTAGGTTGGGGGAATAGATTGATATTAATTAGTATTAAGTTAGTTAAAACATTGACAGAATTGTAATCCCTTTTCCCTGAAAATAATTTTTGTATAATGGTTTTGGTGGGGAGGTACCAATGCACTGTTGCATTCAGATATTATAGTTGTTAAAATTCACAAGTCGGACTTGTCTTATGAATAAACTTGTTTCCTGATGTTTGCCATGGTGATTGTAATTTTACTTTTGCAGCTATTACGGAAAAAAATCAGAAGATATTGATATTGCGCTTGACAACATGAAAGGGGATGAGTTTTGTGAATTAGTCCATCAGTACATGTCATCAGCAACCCCAGGATTTGCAACCAAAGGATTTGTTGTTATCAGTCAAAGCACTTGGAAACAGCTAGAATGTTCTTGTTTGATGTGTGGATTGATGTTGCCCACCTCAGATCTGAAGGTTACTGTGAAAGTAGCCGTATTCCAACAATGGTGGAAATTGGAACCCCAGAGGTTGATGCAGATCGAAGGGACTTGACCATTAACAGTTTGTTCTATAACATTCATGATGATTCCGTTGAAGACTTTACTGGAAGAGGAATCGAGGTTTTGTTTTCTGGAATAATAGCCACTCCATTACCTCCCAAGAAAACATTTTTGGATGATCCCCTACGTGTCCTTCGTGCCATACGCTTTGGGGCACGACTTGGTTTTAAACTAACCAAGGAGTTGAAGATAGCTGCTTCTGACCATGAAGTCAGAATTTCTATGGAAGAAAAAATTTCCAGAGAACGCATTGCCCGTGAAGTAGATCTCATTGTATCTGGCAACGAACCAGTAATGGCAATGACCCTCATTTCTGAGTTGAAGTTGTTTGGGACTGTTTTCACTCTTCCTGTGTCATTTGAGCCTGGAATTTCAGACGGATATGAGAAAATGTGTTGATAACATGGACTTTCCATGGAGACTTTTGCAAGCAATTGACTATTCTTTCACAGATAAACAGCAGAGGTTGTGTCTGTATGCTGCTTTATTCCTTCCATTCAGAGGGATGGCATACAAAGACAGTAAAACTCGGGGGTGGTCAACTACATATTTGGAAATTCTCTCAAGATGAAATTAAGTGAGGCTGAAACTATCGGAAAGTTGCATATTGCAGCTCAAAACTTTATTCCTCTGATAGATTGTAACGTGGCAATATACTGGTTGGGTTGCTCCTTGGAGACATGAAAGATAACTGGCGGCTTGCATTGGTACTGTCTATGCTCGTAAGTACCACTGCAGATATTCATTCTGCTCAACAGTTGTATAAGGTAGTTGAAGACTAGATTCTGAGACAAGGCTTAGAAGAAATTTGGAAGTTAAGCCCTTGGTCAATGGGAAACAGATCATGACTGTTTTGGATCTCCGGACTGGTGGACCGCTTGTCGGGGAATGGCAACAAAAGCTGCTTGAGTAGCAGCTTGCTCATCCCTCTGGAACAGAAAATGAATGTATGGATTGGATGATTAAAGCTCTGAGCTAAACAGGCAAGGAAGGTATTAGGACTTTAGCATATTTTTTCACTCTTGACTTCTTTTTGGAAGAAACCATTTCATGTATAGTCTCCTTACTGGCATTGGCAGCTTAGATGTCTGGTTATCTTCCCGATGTTAGAAGAAGGCTTCAACCTTTGATATCTGATCATTTTAGACGTTCATCGCCTCATCTCCATCAGTTTCGCAAAGAAAACTGTTAAAATAATGCGTCAAAAAAGACTACAAAAATTGTTCAAACTCTCTAATTATATACAGTATATAATAAACGGAGTACAGTATATAGTTTGGCATAACCAATGAGTAAATTTTATGTATGTGAAAATGCATAATAAAAAAGATTTTGGAGAGACGTTTATCATTTATTCTTTTAACAAACTTTGGGATACAGTCATGGGTCCTGATTTTAGCGTAACGGTATCACTTGAATCAATCGAAGTTCCAACAATTTCATTACTTGGATGTTTCATTCAACCAAGATGTTCAAATTTACAACTGCTATGCATCCCTGTCCTTTTTACATCAATTTTATTCCATTTGATTTCCATAGAATCCCAACTTAGCACAATCCAACCATGGTTGCAAATAAGCTTTGCAAAATCAGAAGATATCTGGTTTGAGAAATTGAAGAGCAGGATAAACAAGTTTCCATTTTTCTGCCTCCCTATTTTGCTAAGTAAAACGACACTCTACTGAAGAAGTTCGAAGGATTGAAGAACTAGTTAATCTAGCTATGATTCTAAACCATGTCCCAGTACAAAGCCAGAGTTTCGACAATGATGCAATGACTTTGAAAAGGAAGGAACCACTGATCATCTAAAAAGGTACAGGATGGCGATTAAGCCAATAAACTGTTGCTACCAAAAGATGTTATTGTTGATGATGAAGATGATTGCGAAGGAGAAGTTGCTGCTTCAATCACTTTCTCCTCCTTTACAGCAAAAGGGTCAAGCTCAACTTTAAAGGGCACGGCCTCCAGCTTCAACTCACTTTCATCAAATGAAGCATCAAACATGAAATCAATGTTATCCTCAAAACCTGTATCAGAAAACAGATCTGGTAGCTCGGTAGGTTTCTCAAAAGGGAAATCTGAAACAGGTAACGAGTTGAACCCGATATCCAAGCAGAAGTTCCAAGGGTGCTCATGCTCATCAGCAGGGTCAATCATAACAACAGGAGAATGTGATCCAGTGTCGCCTACCGCTTCCATATCCGTATCATTCTGCTCCACCAACTGTGTTTCCTTTTTTATGCACGGTTTCTGGTCTTGTTTTACATCCTCTTGTGCATCACTGGACTCAGTACTTTTCGCCTGCTTCTCTTTCTGGAATTTCTTCAATTGCTCTGCATAGGTGCTGATGTCAAAGTTTGTCACTGCATTCGGTCCTCTGTACTCTATCGCTGCCAAATCATAAGCTGCTGCTGCTTCCTCTTGAGTGCCTTAACATAACAAAAAAAAAAGAAAAGTTTTTAATTTGTTCTCGAGTGCTTCACATAAAGAGCTACAGAAAAAATGAAAATCTATGCATTGAAGATTATTGTTAAAGGAACTTGACTTGTTTTACTACATTGCACATCTAAAAATGGTTCAGCTAAATGTTCTGAGGATTGCCAGATACAGCATGTTCCTGTTCCTTTCCAACTATTCATAGAAGTAGACATTCCCTTCTGAACTTAAAACATATTCAACAATACTAATGAGGTAATAGATGACAATTTTAAGGATAAATTAGTCATTTTGACAATGTACAATGAATATTTTTTACTCCATATGCAATCCCTGCACCCCTCATAAACCCCATTCCTCACCCCCCAAAAAAAAAAAAAAATCCCCTTCATCCCGTATATTTTTATAATAGTAATAGTTCAATGTTCATTTGCAATGAACAACCGAAGCATAACTATTTTAGGCACGACCTGGTGGCCTCCCGTACTGATATTTTTCTTTAGTACTGGTCATACATGGAAAACTCAAATGTACAACTCACAAATTGAGTTATTTTCTTAGACTCATGATCTTACTTCACAATGGAATGTAGTGATGGAGGAAGCTAAGAAAAGAATGATAAGGGGTAAATTTAATTTAAAATGGTCTGCGGCCTGCCGACTCGAATATACACAATACAAGAGGGCATGTGACACTGTTACAAACATAAGCAGATCCCAGGTAAAGCTTTGGCTTCTCGGACTTCTCAAATCTTAGGTCAGTAATTACGTTAAAAAAATATACATAGAGAGATAGATTAGAGACAACCCACTCCAAAAAGAGAATATTTCAGTTTTATAAAGGTGAAAACTTTGAACTGAAACTGAAAGTTTCTGTCGGTATCCATTATTAGGCCCACAAAGATAACATTAAAATTAGCATGTGCCATGTCAGCTTTTCCAAGAGTATAAAAAATAGGTTGTACGATCCATGTACATGCTTGGCATTTTTAATAATGTAAAGCTACAACTCTTTTCGTGAAGAAATTAAGTAGTTATTTCAGTTCTGCAATGACTGGGCTGCTGCATTTAGATATGGAAAATCACAGTCCCAAGGTTTTGCCCAAGTGCTACTTTATTCCCCCCTGTTTTGGAATAATTGTGGTTACAAATACGTTACGTTCTACTATTGAAAGGGACGCCAAACTTCACCACTATAATTTGCCAGAATAAACGTGCAGACTTCCCCTAAGCCCCCCTGCTCCATCGACTCCCAAATGTAATTGGAAAAAAAAAAACTCTTTCGGAGTGATTCTGCTGGACCCCAAAAGTGGGAAAAATAGAGATGTGTTCATTCTATCACTCACTTTTGTGGCTTGATTTTCCATTAAAAAGGGACTCAAAGGCGAAAGTCTAATGTACATTACAAACTGAGAAGTATCAACATAAAATGTTGAAAGTAAAAAGTCTTAACTTCCTAATCTCGAGGGACGGAACACCATTATATTCTGAGACACATACACAGGGAAGTAATTAAGTTCTCAGTTAGATTCCACTAGCATAGACCTAACATGTCATCACCTTCTCTCTTGATTATTTTAGAGGAGCCCTTTTCGCTAAACAAAACCTGTGTATATATATCCACCTTTAAGCCCTTTTCGCTAATCAATCCCCAAATCTCAAGTTCATATTAAGTTTGTTGTCCCACTTACATTAATAGCATTTCATTAAAAAAAATTAAAAAAAATTTCCTTTTAACTTCTGCATCCTTAATTTTTAGCAAGTAAACATTATTTAAACAAATTCGCATAGTTCCACTAACAAAACACGGTTGGCACAGAAGAGGCAAACTTGAAATGGAGAAAACACGAGTACAACCAACTTACTGTAAGTTCCCAAGTACAAGTATTTGTTTCCTAAGACACGTCCAATTCGTGCTTCCCATCGACCGTTATGATGATGCCTGTGAAAAAAACGCTTTCGATTCAGAAAGGAAAAATACAAATTAACACACCTCGTGAAAAATCATGGATTTCTATTTTCTATGTGTTCATACAAAACTCGAGCTTTCTTTGTTCAATCAAAAGGAAAATAGAGAATCATCAGTCAAATTAAACGGTCGGATGTCACGTTTTTGTTCTTTCATCCGAAATTGGGTGCTTCCCACTCACGATTTTCATTCTTCTTTTTTTTTTTTCTTATGTTTTGTAATCAGAAGCGTTACATTAAACGTTTTTGTCGTATAATATGGCACTAATTAAGCATGAAAAGTGCGTCTGTGTTTATGCAACGACACTCCGTTTCTTTTTGTGATTTGAAATAATGGAGAATATGATTTTTTTCGTTGGAAGAAAAATGGTGAAACGTAATTTTATCATGGGAAAAAAAAAGATAAATTTTTTAAAGGAAAAGATAAACGATACTGTAAAGGGAGTAATACAAGACCAAAATTGTGAAGATCGTGAAATATAATAGTGATACTCTATCTATATCTAAAAAAAAAAGAGTCCCATTTTTTTAATAAATTTGAATAAATATAAAAATTCTCTATTTGGGACGAAAGAATTAATTTAAAAACTCATGTTTGATTAAAATAAAGGAGAGAAGGTGGGGGAAGAGGAGGTGGATTGGTGGGAAGTGTTTATGTATATGATGCATGCAAGTGACAAATGTAGAAAACGAAAACAAAAGAAAAAAAATGCTACTAAATGTTAAACTTTTTTTTTCCGTTTTAAAATATAAAAAAGCTTCATACATATTTGGTCGAGTAGATTGCCAACCCACTTTTACATTAAAGAAATAGTCAATGTTTAACAAAAAATAATAATAATAATAATAATAATAATAATTGATAAAACAACATTTACATAAACACATTATGGCCCATTGAGCTATTAAAAAGTAATATAAATTTTTTGTTTAGAAAAGAAAACTTATGAAAGAAAAGGTTTATAATGTACTATATATTTTTACCTCGCCACCCCACGGTATTTAGAAACTCCTCTAGAAAATCCACTACTCTGCCTTCGTAGGGACGCTAGATATTCCTCCTTTGACAATTTCTCCATTTCTTCTAGCTCTTTTGTATAATTCTCAATCTGTATTTTTTTATTTTATTCAGGAAGTTAATAAAGATGGCGAAATAAAAATAAACATAAGCAAGTAAATTGAAACTTAAAAAAAATAAATAAATAAAGGAAAGAAGAGAAAAAATAGAAATTAATAAAAATACCGGGAAATTGAGGATTGTGGAAGGGCCCCAGTACTTAAGAGCCGCAAGATCATATGTACGGGCGGCTGCATCTTCGTTATCATATGCCCCTGATTTTCCCCAAAAAAAAAAAACACATGAAATTAGCATTAATTACTCAAAATTGAAATTTGTACTAATAAAAACAAAACTAGAAAAAAAAAAAAGAAATTAGGAAGCTTACCCAAATAAACTAAACAGCGACAAAAGCGTCATGAACGTTGCCAAGATTCATTCAAAAAGAGAATAATAAAAACCCAAAATTAGTATCCAAAATTAAATAAATGTGAACAAACAAATGCAGAGTGATTGCTGTTTACTGCCGCAAATTAAACTAAATTAAAAAAGAAAAAGATAACCACTTATAAATAAACTAAGATTCTGCAGATCTCATTGAGATTGATATCACAGAAGGGGAATTGTTTTATTAGTCAAACCAAAACAAACAGAAATAAAATAAAAATTAAATTACTTTGTCGCCCTTTCTTGTTTTGAATGCTATTCCAAGTACTTTTGTCCCACAGGTGAGCTTCATACCGCCCTGTCCATCTATGCCTGTAAAAAAAAACCCACCCGAAAAGACACGAAACGAAATTAATGAATTGAATTGATCAGCCCAGAATTTCATGCATGCAATTCACAACAAGGAACAAAACCCATTAATCTGATTTTCAATTTTGGTTAATTTTGGGGTACACAAAATTTGAGTGTGGGAAATTAAAAGCATGTTTTACTACCTAGTGACTCCTCTGTAAATTGAGCTTCTCTTTGTTGTGGAGGGGGCTGAAGGAAAAGGGGATGATTCATCTGCATTGGTGATGATCTGTGATTTCTTGTCCCTTTTGGCCCTTTTGGCTCTTGTTCTTTTGGGCTTCTGCTGAAGATTGTTGGTGTCATTTTTGGTGGTTGGGGGCTCAATGCATGAAGAAGAGGAAGAAGATGAGCAGGATGAAGAAGGTGACCTCTTCTTCATTCTGTTTCTTGGGACAAGAGAATCAAATAAAATCAATCAATTTCACTTTCTGCTTCTTTTCTGTGTTTTTTGGTACTAGTTTTTTGCTGGGCTGATGTTTTTTTTTTTACCCCCTACTCTTGACAATTCAGGGATTATGAAAGAGATTGATGGGTGGGTTGGTGTAGAAATCAAAAGGGGGGAAAGAAGAAAAGAAAAAAAGAGGAGGGAGGGCTTATTAATCTGCTCTGTCTGGTAAACCTAAACTGGTGGTTTACCAAATTAAGAAGATATCAAATTGAGCCATTGAAAACAAATTAGAGTAAGAAAATATGCAAATTGGACTAAAATTTATGCAAAAAGTTTGTGACATTGTGATTTCTGATAGGTAAGAAAGAGGAAGGAGAAGAAGAGTAAAGGGGAAATTTGCAAAATGCTTAAAAACATGATCTCTGCTGTCTGCTCTGAAGCTAAAACCTCAAAAGACTGTACTAAAAAAGGGTTAAGGGGGTTTGGTGAGTATTTTAGTTTAATTTATAAGAGGAGGCTGAATTAAAATGTCAGTCAAGGGGGGTTGGGGAGAGGGGTTAACCAAACCAAAAATGTGTAACCAGAGTTTGTTGTTTTTGATTGAATTTTTCTGATTTTTTCAACAGAATCTAACACTTGGCCAAGGGTATCAGCCATGCAATCACCAATTGGCTTTCTTTCTTTTGGGACAACAAAGCCGTCTTCATTTCTGCACAACCCATATGGGGAATCTCCATATTACTATTATTATTGAAAAATGAGAGAAACAAACACAAATAATAATAACAATAATGATGATAGAGACTGTGATTTTATTTAAGTCGGAACATCATAATTATTATCACGAGATGAGACTTCAAAACGCCTTATGAAAATCTAATTGATTTTTTATATTTTGTTTTAGTGAAATTTCAGTAATACACACATTAAGATAAATGAGAAAATTATTTTAAGCTATTTTCCGTCAGAGTTACTTTTTTTGTTTTACCAAAATAATTCATTTCATTTGAATTGGATTAACATTATATGACGGGTGCAATACTTCATTTGATCGTTTTTGTGGTATTTATTAACGTTACTTTAGTAATTAAAACATGCATTATTATTTCAAAATAACAATGAAAAACATAAGAGAGAAGATTTGGATCTTTCTTTTTTGGGGGTCTGTTACAGTGGGGGGGTGTGGTAAAAGAGGGGAAAACGACACGTGTAGGGATGCATGTAAGGAGGAAGAGAAGATGCAGTAAGTAGCAGACTAATAGCAGGAGTAGAGAGAGGGTTTCATTAATTGGGTTTGATTGTGCGGGTTAATTACGAGTCAAACCAACATGGGGAATGAATAGTGACAAAAGCAGAGTTAGTAAAAAAGTGGTTCTAGCGGGGGTGAGATCACACACGAGGCTCCAAAAGGCCAATAATATTTGTCCATTTCCGTAATTTTGCCGTCTGTTTGTTGTGAGGGAGAAAGAAATTCAACCTGTAATCTTCTTTTTGTGACACATTAATTATCTGCCGGGGGGAACTTTGGAAATCCAAAGTTTCTGATGTTAGTAGTAGACACAAAAATTACAATGATTTAGAGATTGAGAGTTATTGACAGATGATGGATACAGCCATTAGCCATAAAAGGTTCTGAAAATCTTACTAAGTGACAGGGTATTAAACTCTTAGGCAAATGTCGTAATACCGAATCTATAGTTAGTGACTCTTATTATGGTCATTCCAATTTCATTTTCTAAAATTACTATGTGACTTGTCCTCATAGTGCTATTGTGAAGAAGTCATGATATGTCATCAACATCGTACGTGATAATCTTAAGTAGTACTCTTTTCGTCCCATAAAAATAGTCTGAATTGAGTTTTCAATATGGATTTTTTTTTTTTTGGACGGAGGTAGTAATAATTTAGTAACTTGTAAGTGTTAGTGTATGATGCAATCGTGTGATTTTTTGTACTAGTATCATCTAGCAAAAATCTTGAGGAGAAATGTATAACCGTTTAATTTGCATGCGCAGCTTCTCCGAAGTAAGAAAAAACTTGGCGGGAAATGGGTATTTGGGCTCATTGGAAGTACTCTTGTAAGACACATTGGGCTTAACACAAACACTTCCTTCCTAAACTCTCAACATTTTCACTGTGTGGGTGTGGAATTCGGATTTGAGGGATCCAATCAGATCATCTCCTGCAAAATTGGACTAAAAAATAGTGCAAAAAATAATTCGTGTCAATCGTGACATCACTACCAAATCGTACCGAAGCAGCTTCTTTGCATTGAAAAACACGGTTATGACCAAATGCAACTCATATGGGAAACAGAAAACATTCATGGTACGAAAATTCAACACCAAATCAGATAACTATTCAAAGGAATACCGGCGGCCACCAAAATGCCAAAAAAATCCTTAACCAAACGGCTTCATTTCCGTGGAAGAAATTAAAGTTAGAAGGAGCAAACAACGTCAAACACATTTTTTGCTTCCCACAAGTTTCAAATTTACACTTAGGACAACAGGTAAAAAAAGATCTTCAATTGATAAAGTCAAGTAACCAACACTAGAAAACAAATGTGACCCCATAAATTTAAGAACCAAATCGGAGCAATACTTGTGTAGGCTTATTATATAGGCCACCAAATTTTATAGTATATGAACCGAAAGGAGAAAATGAAACCAGAAAAGCACCACCACAACATAAATGCAAACTTACAGTTTCCAGTCTGTTGCTAAAGAACACCCTGTCAAACAACAAGCTTTTCAACACTACCCGGCAAAGTGAACAATTAATGCTCCATGTAACTCTGCATGCTGTGTTTAGAGTTTAGAATTAACTTCTTTTGCTCTTTGGGCAAAAGAGAACTGGTATGACTGCTTGCTTATCCCACTTTTTACTTTCTTGATCATCTTCTTCCTTGGAGAAATACTCACTCTTTCAAATCTGCCATCTGCTTTCAAATCAAAATCCTCACTGCACGGCATGAGCTGATCATGATCATTCATTTTCTGTGAATGGCAGCCATATAAAAAAAAGTGTTCTCAATGACCAGAAATGATAATACAACTTGAACCAAAAAAAGTCAGCCTTTCACTCATCGTAAAAAATTCACAGGAAATACTATAATATAGCGTCAGTTATCGACAATCTTCACTTTAGATATTCGAAAGAACCCAAATGCCACAGCACCCATAGGAATACTTAGTTAAAATGCTAGCAATATCTGAAGAAAGCAGTTACATTAGAAAAAAAGTAATGACCGTGACTCAAAAGGTTATACTCCTATTTTAAATAACAGATGAGATAGAGAAACCACTACCCGAATGACTTTATCCAATAACCTTTTGTCTACCAAGTTATCACACAAGGAGAGGAAAACAAAATCGGTGGAGAGAAGGGAAAGAAGGTAGACATTTAAGGAATTGAGACACAAAGAAGGAAATAGGGAATCCATAAAATGAAATGGCAACCGAGGTCAGAATTAGTCATATTCATGTTGTGCTTTTAAATGACTTCAACAAACAGATTAATGTGTTAGTGACGACTGTTACCGCCTAAAGATCTTATAGAATACCATTTCTACTTTCATGACCCTAATTATACAGAAAAACTGAATTCCTCTCTTTATTTTTGTTAACATGTCTCAAAGAGAATAAGTAATCCACATGAAACTCAAACAATTATCAGCCCTCTGAAAATCCAAGGCGATTGGAGCGGACCTTTCTGCTGTTAGAGGAACAGTCAGACACATATAGCAATGATGCATTGATGCTTGAATTTTGATGAGGAGAGGACACATCATCACTAACTGGAGTGAAGATTCCAGCTGATGTCCGAGGTGGATCTTCAGGAGCAGATAAATCTGAACCATCAGAAGTCGAGATGGAGATGCATCCATCAAAATACGCCATAGCTTCTTCGGTAAGACATTTGGAAATCCTTTTCCTTTCAGTGCTTCTCTGCATTAATGAATAAAAGTCATCCCAAAGAACAACAAAATGATAATTCACTGGTTAAGTCGGATCAAACCATTAAAGACCAACTACAATACTGGAAGGCAATTAGCCTTTCCGATCAAAATTTCGAGTTTCAATATTGAAAGAAATCTTAGATAATGTCAACGATGACCGTTGCAGCTCCATTTATGGTATTGATTAAGATAAAATTTAAAAAGAAAAAGAAAATATACTTCTTCAAGCTTTCGTGGGTATTTCTCTTCTGATGTCCCAAACCACTTCAACAAGCTGGGAATTAACCAAGTCAGAAGGTATATCAGTGGCATCTGTAATTGCAACACCATTGACCTTACTCCACCGGATAGCCTAAAGTACAAAGTACAAAAATCCTCAATCAATATAGCCTGAGCAACTAGAATAAGCCAACCTTCATATATGCAACAAAAAGCTTGTTTTTGGATATCTGAACTATATATGAAAAGCTTGTTTTTCAATTAAGAAGAAGAAAATTAAAATACCAAATTAACCATTTACAATGCAGTTAAGATAAAAGGTTTCGACAATACTTAGATATCTTAACTATATACTGGCCACTGGCCAGTAAATTTTAGTATTTTACAGGAAATGGCTTTGGTAACTCTATCTTCAGCGTCTGACAGGAAACAAGTTGAAGTGCCAGTCGTCCCAATATGACAATGGAAAGCTGCACTGGAAAGAACTACAACATCCATCAAAAGGATAATTATATCTTGGTAATGTCTTGATAATCTTTCATTTACCAACCAAATACTCACAGCAGTCGTCTTCAGAGCACTCAGTAGCTTGGCATTGAGTCATCAACAAAGAATAAGATATCATTCATCATCATTCAGACACTAACCAATTCAATATAAATGGTTAGGCAATACACAGTAAAAGGCAGTTCATTTGAACAATTACTACATTTTCTGACCACCACAAATGAATATCTCTAATTTAGCCTACTCTGACAAATCTACACAAAAACTCAACAAAGGGCTAAGATCTCACAGATTAACAGCCAGACGAATCAAGATCGACTAGAAAGCTTCAAGCTCTTTCAGCCAAGGATCCAAATCAATACTCTGAAAGTTTGAACTGAAACAAAATGCTTCATTGTCAGGAATGTTGTTCCAACATGTGGATGGTCCGGCAGGTGCTAAAATATCAGAATCCCCTGCATTCATCAACAAAGGGGCGTCATTGCCACAATCCGATGATCCATAAGAAACTCCGGCCTCCTCATTGTTCACGACTATGGCGGCAGAATCGTCATTGGTCAGCACACTCAGACTCAAGTCCTCCTCATTGCTGCTTACTGATTTCATCTTCTTTCCGAAATTCTGTCCCGCTTCTTCTGGCACCAGATTATCACTCTTTCTCTTGCGGCACACAATTTTTCCTTGCACGGAAGACTTGGAATCGTCCCTTTTTATTTTGCACAGCACAATGTTAGAGCAATTAATTCCATCAACATCCGGAATGTCATGGGCAGCAGTATCAATTGAGTATTCTGTCATAGTCCACTGCCCAACAGTTGGTTCAGGCGATTCAAATGTAAAGTTCTTTTTTTCTCCAATTTTGCTTCCTAATCCGCAATCTTCCCTGACTGGCTGGGCGGAAGAATTGACATTCCAACTCCCACAACCAGCTACTCTGTTTTTATTCTTGCCGTTCTTGGAATTTTTCTTGGAGACATTGGAGAGGAACGAGAAAACATAGACGATTTTCTGAGAGTCCATCTTTCTATTCGACGAATTCATCACCGTCTGCCATGGAAGATCATCGGACAATAACTCCCATGGGGTAGCATTATCCCCGTACAGATCTTTCGCGGTGAAGAATTCCTTTTCCTCTTCCATAAATGGGAGCCCTAAAATCATCCTCTTTAAATAGTACGAAACCAATTCCTCATCAGTCGGCTGGAACCGATACCCAACAGGAGCCATACTCTCTTTTTGAACGAAAACCCACAAAATCCCTTAATGGAAAATCTGAAGAAATTGGTGGGACTGACCTAAATTAGAAAGAAAACCCCAGAAACTTAGGTATCCTTGTAAACGTAAAGGAACCCTAGAAGGAAACTAGATCGAACTTTAGATCAAACTGAATAGATCTCGAATTTGATCAAAGTAGATGAGATTTCACTCATTTCAGTGATTTCAATTCAGTGGATTAGGACGGCAACGTCGTAAAACCAAATTACTTTGATCAATTTAAACTCAGAAAGAAAGAAAGAAAGAAAGAAACGTAAAATCGCTTCAACAGGATTTCAGAGAGCCCTAATTGGGAATTAGGAAAGAACAGTCTGAACTCTGAATTGACGCTACTGACGTTCTGATTTCTGAGAGATGGTGACACTATATATATAGATATCGAGAAGCCAAAAAACAAGGGGAAAAAAGAAAAAGAAAAAAAGGGTATGGCGGTCGATCGGACGGATGAAAATTGTAGGTCGGACGGACGAGATTAGATATTGGTTGTAGATTCAATTTTCCCTCGTTGTGACTTTGTAACCTTTTTTCGTTTTTTATTTTTTTTAGTAGTTTCCAGATTAGGTTACTTCCCTATTTCATTGGTCACTTTGATTTGTTTCCGTTTTATAATATTTTTTTTTTTTGGCAAAATGCACAAAAAAATGTTCATCAATTCAGTAATCTATAATCTATCTATAATTCCCATTATTATAACAAAAAATTATTTTTTATCCAAAATTCTAAGTAGCACTCTATTTATAAAAGTTGCTCCATTTTAAATAACTAATAAATTTTTCAAAAAAAAACTAAAATAAATTTTTATAAAAAAATTTTACATCATATTTATCTGTTTAATATTCTGCCAAACTAAACCACACAATATAAATAGTTTTTCCCAAACACCCGACTAATCTCAATCTCAAATCTTAATTAAGTCTCTACCACTCTCTCCAAATCTGTCATCAATTCTCAGAAGATCAGAGAAATAAGATCTTACAGAAAAAATAGAACCAGCAATGCAAAAGGATAACACGAAGATGTTGGCAAAACTGATTCGATTCCGGTGCGAGAACATAATGACGTCGTGGAATCCATTCTGCAATATGGTATTTTTATCATCCTAAAATAAATTCTCATTCGAATGCAAATGTTTTGTAAATGTTGCAACCATTCTGCTACCGTTATTGCTTTCTTTACTTGGGGATGATGCTTTCTATCACATTTACATTAATTAAGAAACTAAATAAGTTTAGATTCTTTTGTTTTGTTACATCACCTGACGAATCCAAATTTAACGGAAAAGGCAAAACCGAAAATTGGCAGCAAGATAAACAAAAGGCTGCAAAACAAAGACTTCTACTCGGCTGACTAAACGATCGATAAAGAGAAGTGATTAACAGCAATAATCGATTGTTTCAATAAGTTCATGTTATCAGTTATCAATTGATAAGAATTCTAAGATTTTTCTTGAGTAATAGCAGGAACTTATATCTTGCGTAATTGTATTTCTTTTTCGTATACTTAAAATTGAGGATTAATGTTACGATGATTGATTCAACTTTTGAAACAAAAAAGTGGGACCGCATGTTGAATTTTTCTAAACTCCCTAATTTGACAAGTTCTTGTGTTTTCGGATTTCAAATCCATCCTTAGTGGTCCTTCAAGAGTAACTATTAAGCACATAACAAGTTTAAATGTTACTTTAAAGTGACAAAATAACATGATGTGCTCGTTATGTTTTTTTTTCTCAGTTTAATATTATTTAGATAGAAACAAAATATATATTTTTTTACATAAAAATTTGATGGAAACCAAAAACAGAACAACAGTTATGAAATATACGTATCTAATTTTTAACTAAAAACAGAATAACGGTGTTTTTTTTTCTTTTTTTCTGTTAATTTTTTTATGCCTTTCTTATAATATTAACTAAAATATCTTAATCTCATAATTTATTGTGTAAACACAACTTCTACTAGCTTCTATCTATCTATTCTATTATATTAAAGCAAAATATATTTTGTAAAAAACATAGCTTCTATCTATCTATTCTATTCTATTATATTAAAGCAAAATATATTTTGTAAAAAACAATACAGATGTCACAATTCTATAAACCCATTTTCCGCCAAAAAAATTTTAGGTAATACATAACAGTTTTTATGGAATCGCACAAATCATGGGATGTATTTAAAACAAAATTGACCAAAACTAATATGCAATTATACTAACTAGAATTATCCTCGTGCGTTGTATGGATTGTGTTACATGTATTGTATAAAATTATGAAATTATAATAACGTGTGAGCCGAGTGTTATCGTCAAAATATGATAAAGAATTTGTCGGGTTTTGTTATAAAAATTCTTGTTTGTATTTTGTTGTGTAAATAGAATTCATATTTTTTTATATTTCACATTCAAGATAATGTATATTGTGAAAGATAAAATATTAGTATAACTCATTTGTAGTTAAATTTTAGAAGTAATAATCGATAAAATTGATGATAACTTGGTAGTATAATTTCATAAATTTTATTAATTTATAAATTTAGTAAACTCAAAAATGAAAGTTTTAGAAACTAAAAAGAAAAAAGAAATGTAACGATATATAGTGTTTTATAAACATCTCTTTAGTAATATCATTTTTTGTAAGATTTCCCTGAAAAATACTACATTGCTTACATACTTGATGGTTTTTCATCCATTAAAATAAATTTTATGATTTTTTTTAAAAAACTTCTACCACAGTGAACTCTGCTTAAAAATGTCTAAAAAATCATTCTTAACAACCAATAAAAAAGTTACAGATAATTAGCAATGGAAAAGATAGGTCATTGTTAAGTAAGTAGATAATTCAATATATATGGAATATAATAAACATGGATGAAAAATAAATTAAAATAACTAATTTACAGAAAAATTTAACACTTTAATGAAAGGGGTTTTTAGAGTTGATAAGTGTCAAAAAATGATCTTAACTTGACATGTGACAAAGAAGGTTATGAACTATCTAATTAAACGACACGTATTGATTGAAAACTGTCCTTTAATATATAATAAATATACAGATTACGATCAAAATTCAGGAATCGATATATTTAAAACAAAATCGCTCAAATTATATATCTTTGATATAAAAGAAAAACGCACGATCGCATAATTAATGGTTGCAAATCACTCACCCACACTCAATGATGAGAAAAATCGCACAAATGATCCTTGCCATAAAAAAACCCGCACAAATCACATAAACTAATAGCCAAAACATAATTTCTCAAATTTATATTAGTGAATACAAATATCACTAACCCACACTTAATAATGATTTGGTCAAAAAAAAAAAATCTTTTCCCAAACTTATTCGATAATGAATATTCAGTCAACTCTCATCTATTCATTTATTCACAAATTTCATTTGCTCAGTCTTGCTTAATACAGGTTCGATATATACACTTTTTTTTTGTTTAATATATAGAATTTTGTATTCATTTTTTTCCTAATCATGTTCATCATTTTGACTTGTGTTAAAAGTAAGTCGGAGGCATTGCAATATTCTTTAAATAATTGAGAAGAACTGTTTTTGAACATTGAGTTAATATATAACTGAAATTTTCCCAAGACATGGCTTGCAAAATCTAATTTTTAAATTATGTTAATTTTATTTTTCAAGCCATAACTTGCAAAACCTAATTTGTAAGTTATGTAGACTTTTTAAAATTTTCCCAATACATAGTTTACAAAATCTAATTTGTAAATTATTTACAATTTTTTTTTTTGGATTTTTCCAGTAGGCAATAGATGATTTATAAAATTCAATTTATAAATTATGTACACTTTTTGGGTTTCTTAAGACATGACTTGCAAAATCTAATTTATACGTTATCTTGACTTTTTGAAATTTTTCCGATACATAGCCTGCAAAATCTAATGTGTAAATTACGCAAACTTTTTTGTTGATGCTACTATCATATCAGGGTCAAATATTGGAAATATAATTTTTATTCCACGAATGGAAATTGCTCCATCTAACAAGAGGCTATCATTCAAGATGAGTAGAAAATAATTCTCATTGGCCATTTGCTTTGCCATAAAGATAGGGTCTTTTACCTAAATAAATATCAAAAAAAGAAGAAGAAATTTTATTTTTTTTTTCGGTGGTCATGTAACGATTTGGCGGAAATCCAATTTCCGTTTTATTAATTGTAATCACAAAAATGGATCTCCATTTTCCGTTTGTATTTTTTTTTGTTTTTAAAATACTGAAAATTAGAAAAATAATTTTGCCGAAATAGAAAATATTGAAATTTTGTAAAAAAATAAAAACGAAAATTACAAATCCGTTTTTCTGAACCCAAAAAAGGAAAATCTTTATTCTTTTTTTTTCTTTATTTCAGTTGGTCAAATGAATTATTGCTCTGGCACTAACATCACGGGTACTAGTGTTACTTATTGCTATTATATTTGTTAGTCATTAGATATTATTATTAATTCAATATAATTCATCGAGACTAGTATTATGTCCTATTTGTACGTGCTAGTATTATGTATTACATTAATACTTTTACCTATTATACATATTTGGTACTAGTTTTATTTATTACTGTTAAATCTATTAGTCATTAGATGTTATTATTAATTCAGTATAATTCATCTGTATTAGCATTATGTACTATTGTACGTACTAGCATTATATAGTACATTAATACTATTACCCACTATATATCACTGGTACTAGTGTTAGTTATTATTGCTAAATCTGTTAGTCGTTATATATTATTATTAATTCAGTATAATTAATGTGCACTAGTGTTATGTATTATTTGTACGTACTAGTATTATGTAGTGCATTAATACTATTACCTACCATACATCACTGGTACTAGTGTTACTTATTACTGTTATATCAGTTAGTCATTAGATACTATTACTAATTCGGTATAATTCATGTGTATTAGTGTTATTTAATATTTGTACGCACTAGTATTAACATTAATACTATTACCTTATGCATTACTAATACTAATGTTACTTATTACTGTTATATCTGTTAGTCATTAGATATTATTATTAATTCGGTATAATTTGTTATGTATTATTTGAACGTACTAGTATTATGTAGTATGTTAATACTATTATGCACTATACATCACTGGTATTAGTGTTATTTACTACTGTTAAATCATTAGATGTTATTAATATTCAGTATAACTCATGTGTATTAGTGTTATGTACTATTTATACGTACTAGTATTATGCAGTACGTTAATACTATTATCCACTATACATCACTGATATTAGTGTTACTTATTACTGTTAAATCAGTTAGTCATTATACATTATTATTAATTCAGTATAATTCATGTGTATTGTTGTTACGTCCTATTTTTACATACTAATGTAGTACATTAATACTATTATGCACTATACATCATTAGTACTAGTGTTACTTATTACTGTTAAATTTATTAGTCATTAGATATTATTATAAATTCAGTAAAAATCATGTGTACTTGTGTTATGTACTATTTATACGTACTAGTATTATGTAGTACGTTAATACTATTATACATTATACATCACTGGTACTAGTGTTACTTATTACTGTTAAATCTGTTAGTCATAAGATATTATTATTAATTCAGTATAATTCATTTGTACTAATGTTATGTACTATTTGTACGTACTAGTATTACTTAGTATAATATAATACTATTACCCACCATACATCATTGTTACTAGTGTTATTTATTACTGTTATATATGTTAGTCATTAGATATTATTATTAATTCAGTATAGTTCATATGTACTAGTGTTATGTACTATCTGTACGTACTAGTTTGACTGTTTATGCAAATCTAGACTGTTTTATTAGAGAATTGCTGGATTATTTTCTAAATGTTAGACTATTTATGCAAATCTGAATTATTTTATTAGAAAATTACTAGACTCTTTTCTAAATGCTAGACTGTTTATGCAAATCTGAATGATTTATTAGAGAAATATTAGATTATTTTTGTAAATATTGGACTATTTATGCAAATATAGACTGTTTTATTATAGATCTACTGGAACTTTGTCAAAATATTAGACAATTTATGCAAATATGGACTGTTTTATTAGAGAATTACCGGACTATTTTCTAAATGCTAGACTGATTATGCAAATCTGAAATATTTTATTAGAGGATTACTAGACTATTTTTTTAATTATGTATGTTCACGCAAATCTAGACTGTTTTATTAGAGAATTACTGGATTATTTTCTAAATGCTAGATTGTTTATGCAAATATGAATTATTTGATTAAAAAATTACTAGACTTTTTATGCAAATCTAAAATGTTTTATTAGGGAATTATTGGATTGTGTTGTAAATACTAGTCACCTTAAAACAAATTTTAATTTCGTTTTTAGTTTAAATATTAACTTATTTCTTCTTTCCCTTTCTCTTCTTTTCTTCCCGGTCGTTTGTCATCCACCCGCCTCCGCCCCGTTTCAAAACCTATTTTTTTCGGTTGCCACCACCCACCGAAATCATCAAATCCACAACCCACCTTAGATTTTCGTTTTTGCTTTTATAAAATTAACTTAGTCAAAATTCATCTTCCTTCTTTTTTCTTTTCTTCTCGTTCGACGTTAACCCGCCCACTGGCCCCCTTCCCCCCGCCCTTTTCTAAATCCTAGTTTTAACTGGCGACCACCACCCATCTAAACACCATCGATTTTCTAAATCCTAGACTTCTCCTCTTCTCACGTCGCGTCCTTACTGCCAACGCTCCCTAATTTTGGCAAAACCTCTAGTTTTCTGGTCTCCCAGCGAAACTTTGGGGCCTGTCTCCGCCAATGATGCTTCTCATTGGGCTCTTTTCAGCTACCGCGGTGTAGGCAAAGCTTCTTGCTGGTTGATGGTCAGATAGTGGAAGCAAATTGTCATCTCTGAAGTATTTTTGTTTTGTCAGTTCTGATTTAGCTTTATTGATGTAGTTATTAATTTGGATATCTTAGAATTACAATTTCATGATAAATTGATGCGTGAATTTAATTTTTGGTGTTGGTGTGCTGCTGAATTTTGGATAGTTTTCTGCCCTTTGAACATGTTTACAGTTGCAGATCTGTTTTTTTTTTTTTTTTCACTCTATGTCGTCAAAAACGGATTTTGGTTTTCGGTTTTTAGGTTTTGATAAAAATGGAATTTTAGTTTCTGTTTTTATTTCGGAAAAATATTTCCATTCTTATTTAATTTACAATTTATTTTTTAGTTTTTTAATAAAAATTTATAAATTTTAAAACGGATTTATGTTTTCCATTTTTCTTAATCAATTATTTAACAAACTGTAAAGAAACCTAAATCTCTATAAAACGGAATGAGGAAATCCATTTGTGCTTCTGTAGATTAAAAAACGGAAATCAGATTTTCGGCAATTACTTTTTCTGACCAACCTTTCAGATCCAACTATTTCGGTCTTCTTATTTGGTTTGGGGCATATTTTGGGTTTGACTCCATAGAGATCAATAAGTGTATCTCTTTTGCAAGTTGGTCTTTTCTTTGGCTCGACCGATTTTCAGTCATGGGCAACTCTATGTTTCGTTTTCAAAAGTCACATCCAAGAGAGGTTCAACGGTACTTATAATTAATGATCTATTTAACCCACGAGGTCAGGTCTATAAAACGAAAGTTACTCTCCTTAAAATTTTTTTCTTAGTTCTCTCATTATATTTCATCCAAACAAAAGTTAAAATTTTACCACCTAAATTTACAAAGTGCTTTAATTTTTTTTTCTCTAAAAACCAAAATTTTTCGTTTCTTGTCTTTTGATTTTTCAGCTTAATTTATGTAGACATTCATTAAAAACAACCTATTAAATATTTTAAACAACTCCGAAGTGTAAATTAATATGTTGTCTGCATTTTAATTTTTTTAAAAAAAATTATAAGAAGGGACGAAAGGTTAAAATTGAAAAAGCGGAAAAAAAAGTGTAAGACATGATTCGTAGTATTTTAGAGCGCGGGCATTGCTACCTGTACTTGGGGTAGCCGGTTTCAGACTGGCTGGTCCTCTACGGGTAGCCGGTTTTGGGCCGACTATCCGTGACTTGATTTTTATTTTATTTTATTTATTTATTTATTATATTTTTCAATAATTAGTTTTTTTTTAATGAGTAGTATTAATCTTTGTTGTTTATATGTTTTAAATTTAAATAAGTAGTATTAGCATTTGTTATTTATGTAAATGAAATTTAATTTAGTGTTAATTATATCTTTGTGTTATTGTTGTTATTCTTTTTATATTCATTTTAGTTATTGATTATATTTTTCAATAATTAGTTTGTTTAAATAAGTAGGATCAATAATTATATTTTTCAAGAAAAAAGAAGAATAGGAGGAAGAGAAGAAAGGAAAAAATAGGAGGAAGAGGGGCAAAATTGTCTTAACGACTGTAAATGAGTAATTTTTATAATTGCAAAAAACAATTGAGTTAGGGGGATTTGGAGGTGTCAATTCAACAAAATTCATAAATGTGAGACAGATTATCAAATAGTATCAACTTTCTTTCAAGAATCGAAACCCGGATGGCCTTTTTGCAATAAGTTACGGAAGAGGACGTTTCACTATAAATTGTTGAAACTTCCGAATTGAAATCGGCTCATAAATCTTCTTCCTTTCTCCGCCACCGCCACCGCAGCCGACGCCGCCGCCGGCTACTCGTTAGCTTCTCCGCGCGCATGAACTAGATCCGCCCCCGTTCCTCCCTTCTCACCGGCCACTTCTTCATCTCCTTTGAACGGAAAAATGAATAAAGTTGGTAGAATTTTTGCCCAAACTTGCAGAAAAATGCATACTTCTTCCCGTGATGGTCCCACTGAAACGTTGAAGAAAAAAGTTGCTGAGATGGAGAAGTATAGAAAGAGAAGAGACCCCAGAAAGAATCAGTTTTCTGTAGAAGTCCCTGAATCAAGATCCTTCCTTGACACAGCCACCATGCCTATGATTCTCACTGTGGTTGGCACTGCCCTTTTTGCCAAAATCCTCATGATGGTAAAATGTAGTCGAAACACAGTTTCATTAGTTCATTTTCTTCTTTTTGCCTGAGTTAAATTGTTAATTGACAACTGTGTATTTATGTAATGTTATGCATATTTTTGAATTCAATACGTTATTCGTTCCTTTATCATTTCGTTGCTTTCACCATCCAAATGTTCGCCAATTTTAGTGGAAATGCTCTTTTGCTCTTTTGAATTTTAGCCATGGAATCATTGTTCTTAGAGGTTTGAATTATGCTGGTGTATCCTTATGTGTGTATGTTTTTTTTTCTTTGGTTTTATCTGTCATCTAGAAAATGATCTTAGTGGTTTGAATTATGCTGATGTGTGTGTGTGTGTGTGTGTGTTTTTTTTTTTTTTTGATTAACATGTCATCTGGGAAATGATTTTTTTTCTCCCTTTGAAAAAATCAACAATATGACTTTGTTGGGAACTTCAGAAGAATCTGGGGGTTGATGTTTGATTTACGGATACAGTTTGCTTTTTTTTTTTTTTTTTTTGGGGTGTGGATCATCTCAAGGCCGGGACAGCCAGTTGTACTTTTTTTGAATATAGCTTCATCTGTTCTCCATTGTTGGGACAAAAAATTATGACTATCTTGAAATGTTCTTTTCTTTGACATGCAGTCGTAATGAATAATAATATTGAACCCTAGTCGCAACATGTATTTGCAGCTTGATGATTCTAGGTCTCAAGAAATGATAGAGCGCAAGATAAAGAATGCTCCCCCAGGCCAAGGGACGGTTAGGATGCTAGATCGTGAGGAGTGGGAAGAAATTCGAGAAATTAGACCAAGGACACCATTTGAATCAAAACTGGCCCGTCCAAATGCACGTATTAGGACTGGAGAACATTTACGCTGGGTACTTTTCACAACCTTGCTTTATGAATTAGATTGAAGTACATTGAGTTTTATGTTTGTGGAATCATATATGGAGTTTTTAGATTAAAATATTTGTTTGTCCGCGGACAGCAACTGTTTCCCGAGTTTCTGCTGCTGTTCAAACATGGATTTATGATAATAAGTTTTAGTTTGGCTCTAATGAAATAGAATTTCGTGATCAGATCCCCCATTTTCTTCAACGTCACCATTTCTTTCTGGTCAAATATTGTTCAGCTTAATGGCTTTACACAGAAATAGATGTTCAAAGAAATTCCCATTTAGACATAAAGCATGTCCTTGTCATGTACAGGCATGCAACTTTCTAGATGTGGAAAATGTTATTCTTTAATTAGCTCTTTTTGGGGAATAAATCAGGTTGCTATCTGTTGGATAGGAATATTAACGTCAGTAGATTATTCTTCAGTCTCATGGCAGTGCTAGTAGCAATGGGGGATAATATTTCAACAAATCCTAATGAAACATGGCATTGGATTGCAACTATTCTTGAAAGGGAGGCATTCCTTTAAACAAATACTCCCTCTGTCCCAAAGTTATTCTCCAGTTTGAGATTTCACTTTTAGTACAGTTTGAACTAGAAATGAAAACACAAACTGGACAATAATTAAGGGACGGAGAGAGCATTTGTTTTTAGAATGATATCATTTAAACTCCCATCTTTTGATGCTTGGGAGAAGTAAATCATAGCAATCTTTTGAGGATGACATTGGTAGTGCATCAATTGAATATACTCTCTATATTCAATGTCACTGGATAAAGCTTGCTGAAGCAACTAAGTGAAACAACTGTATCTTGGATAAGAGTGCATTTCTTAGGAAAGTATTATAATGACAAAGTCCATCTACTTTGTTTGCTGATAGGTCCTTCCTCTCTTTTTGCCAAAAAAACTGTGCTTTTAAGCTTTCTTGAAGTCACTTTTATTGACAGTGCATGCATGCCTGAGAAAGCATGAATTTCCATAGCCATTGTAATCTCTGTGTTCTTTTTTATAAGTATTACATTACACGAGCAGTTTTTAATCCTAGTGCAGAATTTGATGATTTTGGACATGAATCTTTGTAGGTGTTCTGAAATATGCATGCTGATTTAAGATGTTTTTAGATCTGATGCCAATTACGATGTAACATGAGGTCAAATTCTGTTTGGTGTAAAACATACTTGAATGAATGAGTATGGGGCCATTTGCATTGCTCAATTTTGCACTTAAAACACTTTAAGTTTCAAATCCCCTTATAACTGCAGGGATGTCTTCACTTAGCTGTTTTTTAGTTGCAGAGCTAAAGTCATTTGGTCCATACTTTAAACTACATGAAACTTTGCCTTCTGTTTTGCATTGCTCAATTTTGGGAAATCCCCTTATAACTGCAGGGATTAGCTGTTCTAGTCGCAGAGCTAGAAGTCATTTGTCCATACTTTCATCTGCATGAAACTTTTGCATTCTCTTTTGCTTACTTTCTACTTACCATGGGTAAAATGCCTCTCTGGTCTTGTTAGAGATACTAATACACAAGGAAAGGCACTGAATAATACGGGATTTATTGCTTATTTGCTTACCTGTTTGACACAATTCGAGCTTTACATTCAAATACACAAGTATTTTTCCTTTGAATTCTTGAGCATACCGAGATGCTTTATGTAATTATCACAGTTGCCCCAATTTGTCTCGTTTAGTAACTTGTTACTGTTCTTGCTGTGTGTCTCATCTCTTGCTGCTTCTGCTTTCTGCCAGCCCCACATGTTGAATACTCATTTTGGTTAACTTGCTTCATTTCTGTAGGAAGATGTTAAGGACTGGACAATGGATGTGTTTGCAGATGGTTTCACACGTGTCGAAGAAACAGTTAGACGTGGGTCAAATTAGCATCATCGCATACAAAGCAAGGGTACATCAATTTATGTATACATTGTAGCCGATGATGGTTGTTTTGACGATGATACTCTGAAGCTCTCCACCTTCCATAAATCAAAGATATCAGCCTTGTGATATGAAAATAAGTAGTAATATCCAGTCGCGTCTTTAATTTGCTTTACATAAATCTCTTGAGCATAGTTTACAGTAGAGGGTTGGCAAAACCTTCCAATCTTAGTTCCATGCAGCTACATAAGAAATAGTCTCGGTATGAATGTAGATGTATATTATCTTTGTTGTAATATAAAATGAGCGAAACCTTCAAGATGCGGTTTTCTGCTGTTGTGGGAAGGTAGATTTTTTTTTTTTGGGTAAATTGTGCGTTTTTTTTTTTTTTTGTCTCAAAATTATTGTTCACTTTGGATTTTCACTTTTGTTCAGTTTGGAGGAGGGAGTACTTCTTTAGTTAGGTTAGTTTGTGCAGAAGGATGGTTGCACCGAAAATTTGTTGTGGCACTTTCCGCAAATGGTTTCCACAATGTACTAATAAGATAGATTCCTTTCTAATTATTCTTTTTTATATATATAAAAATTATTCAGAAAATAGCTGTTACAGTTAAACATTTTTAAATGATCAACGACTGTATCATTAACATCATTCATTAAGTGAACCCAACTATCTTTACCACGTATGTTAAGGTTTTGTTCCTTGGAGGGCTGAAGTTCTCTTCAACATCTAGCCATAAATAAAGATAATGGCTTTGAAATTGTCAGATTTCAGATCCTACCTCAAAATATGTCACAATTGTAGGTTTTCTTCATAACTTAACCATAAAGACATTGGCAACTGGTGTTGAAATGATCAGGTTTTGAATTCCTACATCCAAATATATCTATAAACAATTATTTGGAAATAATATTTTTTTTACTTTCTGTGTTCAAAAATAATACAGTAGTCTCGTATTCTTGTTTGATGGCATACAAAAAAACAACGAAAATAATCAGTTCTTAAATCCCTACTTCAAAATGTATGTCAAAACAATGAAGAATTGCTTGATTTGTGTACGTCTTTTCGGTGCTTCATAATCATTTGAACCACGATTCTCAACCAATTCAAAAAAAAAAAAAAATGCAATTATTTTCTCCCATCTCAATCTCTCAGAATGCTTAGAGCATTTCGTCATGACTTGCGTTTGGTACTTATAATCAATATCTCAGTATCATATTCTATTCGGTTTTCTAAAATGTCTCTTGAAATTTCAAACTTATTTTTTTTTTTCAAAATTGTGAGTCAAAGAATCTTCTCCTTCTAGATTTCTCATTTCTTCATCCACCTACACTTATTGATTCCCATTATAATAACATTCAGGTAAAACGATGCTTCTTCCCTCCAAAAAAATAGTCCATTATGTTGAACTCTTTTTTCGGTTAAAAAGAAAATGAACTATTTGTCTAGAGCATATGAAAAATAATAATAATAATAATAATATATTGTCTTATTTCTTTCCTTTTATCTCAAAGAAACGAATTACTGGATTCATACTTGTGTTGAAAATTGTGATTATGTGAAGAATTACCCACCAAACATTAGCTCTACTTAAAATTAAGGTAATGATCTCGGACATAACTGGCTCTCATAATGTGACGTTCGCCGGAGATAATTCACCGTGGTATGACTGACCGGTGATCACCAGGAATAAATGCTTCTGTCATCAAATTTACTGAGGCAAGACCATGGATTTGTGTGCCTTATAGAGAAATGATGAGATACTAATGAGAATTGATAGTACTATATTTGCTGCATTTATAAAACTTGCAGTTGCAGATATGCAACTATATCAACTAACATCATCAAGTTGTATGGCTTTGATTTTTGTTTTGCATAATAAAAATGAAAATTTAAATTAGATAATAATTATTTTAAAACAGAGAGAATTTTTTTTTTCTTTTTCAAATGCTTATAGTACACATTTCTTTTCAAAACTGTTACGCTAGGTTTTTTCAGGAGAAGAGAAATACTTCATCTATCCCGAAATTATTGTTTAATTTAGAATTTTTATTTTTTAGTTCAATTTATATTAAAATTGAAATCTCAAATTGAACAATAATTTTATGACAGGGGGATTATGAGAAACTCCACGCGAGTATGCTTCTTTCGTTCGGTTTATTTGATGCTCAAGGACATTTGTTCTACCCAACTACTTGTTGACAAAGATATAAATCGAGTTATATATTTCAAAGATTTAAGACGAGTATAATGACTTTTCCTTCTTGTGATTACAACAATTACTAAACAATAGCTCGGAAGGATATATTTTTTGTAGTCAAAATGGACCATACGCCTCAACCCGCCACAATTCCCAACACCTGAAAACAAACAGCAAAACCAAAGACAACAAATTTAAGACATGGAGATAATAATAAATAAGAGTAACATGGTATGGTACCGAAAGTTGATGTCATGACATGCGCCATGGCTAGCCATCCAAGTTCTAGAACTATAAGCCAACAATTTTGGAACTTTGAAAATGAAAATGGAGTTTTAGATGGCAGCCAGTAATCTCAATAAGCAACAATTTTGGAACTTTAAAGAAATACTTGTTGGAAATGTTTAAATCTGTTAATTGAAAGATATTGTTGTGTATGAAAATGGATAATATAACATTTAAACGATAAATGACCATACATTTTTTAACCAATTGACTATATGGGATTAATGACATAGCCCAAGCAAAAAATTCTAAGCCACAATTTATTATTACCTCTGTCTCAGAAAAATTAATTCATATTGAGAGTTTTAAATTTTTTAGAAACCATTGTTTTTAGAACAGAAAGCATTATACTTACGGGATCAAACATAGACGTAATAATTATATAATGGCATAATCCCTCGGCTGTTGTTCTCTACAAGTGTACAAGAGTATCACTTATTAAGACAGCGAGAATAAGACATCATTGATTAAAAAAAGAGGACAAAAAGAAAAACAAAAATCTATTGAGTGTAACAAAGTGCAAAGGCACTTTTTGCAGTTTGCATTTGGTAGTTCACTTAGGATACGATGAGCCATGAGAATCTTTTATTCACTTTTCTGAAGTGAACTCCTTGCAACATCAAGAATTATCTAGAAACTAATTACCTTATACAATGTACATGTATGTTCACGTTATCTTAGGTGATATCACGTTACTGGCTAGTACTCCTACTTTAGTATTTTTAATTAATTTTTTTGAGAGGACATGTATGGCTAAAATAATGTATAGTATTTACCGTTATTTTACTTAGTCGGAGTTCTAAAATATGCAAATGTGATCGCGTTCCTTGTATGTATGCTAAGTTTATGTTTAGATGAAATTGTACGTGTCAAGTAATCTTCATGTATATATTGTCTTCAATTATGTAAAGATGCTTAGGAGAATAAATATCACACAAGTTTAGATTTGTTCTAATTTGAGGAGCAAAGGAAATTATTACAACTACAATTGGAAGTTATAATTATTAACAACAAAATATAGCTCAATCGAAAAATATTGTAAATACTTTTTTGTTTCCCAAAAGAGTATGGAATAGTACTATTTTTTATACAGAAATACTTTATCTTTTAAAAAAAGAAAAAATATTGATACCCGGATTCAATCATGTCCCAATGAACACTTTTGTGTGCCTATATATATTCAACCTTTCTGTATAGACTTGTCTTCTGGAAAAAGCTTCCCCATCGAAGTTTCTCATCAATCTCTAAAATCCACTGATTAATTAAACCAATCATTCTCTTCTCTTGTTTCTTCATTCCTTTGCTGAATTTCAAGGTGCTCTCACTTTACTAATTTGTGCTCTTAAAGGTCCATCTTCGTTTCCTCTCCCTGGCTGTTGTCAAATTCGAGTCCGAAGTATTTACTTTACTTAAAATTTCTTGTGTTTTTACTGTTTTGCGCTTGATCCCTTTATTACTGCAATTCCTGAAATACATGATTGATGTGAGTTTTCCGTTCTTTCCTAATGATGATTTAATCGTCCGGATTTTTTTGTTTGCATGGTAAAGTAATAGTCTTGCTCAATCGCCCTTTGTTTATGCAGTTTACAATAGCTGTTTTGTTCTGTGCGAAAACTTTGACTGGTTTTAGAGCATGATTATAAAAGGGTTCTTTGAATTTTTCTCGTTAAGGACGATTTTCGCTAAAGATTGCCACTTTATTCTTGTAGTATCACGATCGATTATAGGGTCTTTTTTTTTAAAAAAAAAAACAATAAATAAAAATTTCCCATTGAAGTTTAAAACTTATGATTTTGACCTTATGATGGCTCTTATTCAGTGTTAATACTGTGATTCTGGTTCATTTGTCACATTATTGCTGGGTTGATTTTGATTTCTGAAACTAATACCACAAGATATACAAACTAAGTGGATTTCAGGAAAAAAGTGGAGTGAGCAAAACATGGACGAGAGTGATCACAAGTCTATGTTGAATGAGTATGGAGCCATCGGGATTTTGGGTGCAGTTTTTTTTGCCATATTTGTGCCTATAATCCTCTCCACTGTACTCAGTGGGAACAAAAAGAGGAAACAGAGGGGGGTTCCAGTGCAAGTTGGTGGTGAGGCTGGTCTTGCTATGCGAAATGCGCGGCAAAGTAAATTAGTTGAGGTCCCTTGGGAGGGGGCAACGACTATGGCAGCTTTATTTGAGCAATCCTGTAAGAAGCATTCACGAGAAAGGTTTCTAGGGACGAGAAAGATGATAGGCAGGGAATTTGTCACTGCAAGTGATGGGAGGAAGTTTGAGAAGCTTCATTTGGGGGAGTATGAATGGCAGACTTATGGACAGGTATTTGATCGTGCTTGCAATTTTGCATCTGGTCTTGTTAAGTTAGGCCATGATTTGGACACGCGGGCTGCCATTTTTGCTGAAACTCGGGCAGAGTGGTTCATTGCTTTCCAGGTGATTGGGTTTCCTTTCTCGTTGATTACTACTGTTCACAATATTTATGACAATAACTTGTGCTGAGGATGTGCTGTTTTTGGCCTTTTTCAGGGGTGCTTCCGGCAGAATATTACTGTAGTTACAATATATGCTTCTTTAGGGGATGATGCACTCATTCATTCTCTAAATGAGGTAGGAGCTCATAGAATCTTGCAAAATTTTGAACCTGGTGTTTTCTGCTTATCTATGTGTTGTGTGGGTTTCTATTTAATACTGGTTGTTTTTTGGTTTTTTTTTTTTTTTTTTGGGGGGTGAGGGGAGGAGAGGTTGCTGCTAGGAAGATGAATTCAGTATGAAACTTTGAATAGCTTTTCATGATATTGGTATTCACAGACATAATCTTGTTATTTCTTAACAGACTCAAGTATCTACCTTGATCTGCGACTCAAAGCAATTAAAGAAGTTAGTTGGAATAAGTTCAAGCCTGAAGACTATTAGAAATGTTATATACATCGAGGACAATGATGGTTCTGCTGGAACAGACGCTTCTACAAATGTTACCAACTGGACGGTTTCATCATTCTCTGAAGTCGAGAAACTTGGTAAAAGTAATCCTGTTCACCCCACGTTACCGATTAAGAAGGATATAGCTGTTGTGATGTATACGAGTGGCAGTACTGGTCTACCAAAGGTCTGTTAGTATTTTTTTTTTCTTGATTGCTCTAGTTAAAGTCTGTATCTCTTCTAGCCTCTACAGTTTTCATCTGGTTGATGGAAGTACTTGCCTTTCATCTGTCCTTCCATTTTGCTTATGATGAGGATTCACCTTTAGAATGTATTGAGAAATAGAGATTGTTATCTGTTGTTTGCAGATTCTTTTGACCAGAAATTCAAAGTAGGCTCTTTTTATGTTGCATGTATTGATGTCTTATCTTATTTATTGCTACCCTCGACTTGCTTAGAACATCGCCAATTACTCTCTTCTTTAGTTTCAAGAACAGTCCAACGAGGATACTCGTAAAAAATAAGAAATTACTTGATGCTGTTGACTCCCTCCAATCACTTTATGTATCTATAAACCTTTTACAAACATGATTTGTGTTTCCAGATTACTTCCCTTTCTGCTCTCGAATTATCAATCGAATCTGAGGCTTCATGGGAGTCCTCTATTTTCTCTTTGTACATAAAGTTTTATTATTCTTCAGACATTATTTTTCCTGAGCTCTTACATAGTGCACATATGGTTTCTAGGGTGTCATGATTACTCATGGAAACATTGTAGCGACTGCTGCTGCAGTCATGACAGTGATCCCCAGAATTGGAAGTGATGATGTTTATTTGGCCTACTTGCCACTAGCTCATGTTTTTGAGTTAGCTGCTGAGGTAACTTCTATAACAATTCTTTTTTGTCATGTGCTGCGGATAAGAATATGCTTCTAATAGTGTCTGCCTTTTAGTCTGTTATGTTGACTGCTGGTGCTGCAATTGGATATGGATCGCCATTAACTTTAACGGACACGTCAAATAAAATTAAGAAAGGAACCAAGGGAGATGCTTCAGTTTTAAAGCCCACTCTATTGGCAACTGTTCCTGCTATATTAGATCGTGTGAGAGAAGGAGTTTTGAAGAAGGTTGGAACTAAAACACATTTGTTCGTTTTAGTCTCTAATGGTGTCTCCTTTTATGCAATCAAATAGGTAGCATTGCATGCCTTTATTTTTGCCAGTATTTTTCTGATTACGTTTTTCAATCATTTTAGGTTGAGGAGAAGGGGGGATTCTCCAAGAAACTCTTTAACATCGCTTTTAAGAGACGTCTTGCTGCTATTGAAGGAAGCTGGTTTGGAGCCTGGGGATTGGAGGCCCAGTTGTGGGATAGTATTATCTTTAAAACAATTCGCTTGGTTCTTGGAGGAAAAATCAGATTCATGCTTTGTGGTGGAGCTCCTTTATCTGGTGATACACAAAGATTCATTAATATCTGCATGGGGTAATGTTCTAATATACATGTAGCAAGTACATGCAATCTTTGAGCTTGATAGTAGACCTAAATGTTATCACAAGAATGAGAGTCCTTTAAGTTAAAACGTATGTCTTTCAGCTCTCTTCTCCCGTAGCTTTATCAGTGTGTTATTTACAATATTGCAGGGCTCCTATTGGTCAAGGATATGGGCTGACAGAAACCTTTGCTGGGGCTGCTTTCTCCGAGTGGGATGACATTTCGGTTGGACGTGTTGGTCCACCTCTTCCTTGTTCCTACATTAAGGTGTGCTCCATTTTATCAGCCAAATGAATTAGCTGAGTCCTATTCCTCTTGTTCATTTTTGGGTCAAAGTACTCAGTTTATATCATGTTAACCTCCAATTTGGTGCTTCTATGTCCAAATTTGCTGCCTACTATAACCAATTTCAGGGTTTCTTTTTATAGCATGATGTGTCAACAAAAGTTCTACCAATCCATGTTTGGTGTGTATTAATGTTTAAGATTACAAGGGATGACGTTCCAAGTCCCATTTGTGTGTTCTCCACTTTCAACGTTATGGGGCAGGTTCATGTGGTTTCAAGCTTGGTAATAATGAACAATAACATTTTCTTTGTGGCCTTTGTTTATAACATATGAGGTACAGTTAAGTTTGTTTAGTTTGTGAACGGGCTCATCTAAATTGGGCAGTGTTGGCATTTGGCATCGTGAAGATGCAACGATTTGACACGTGAAGCTGTAGACTGTAGGCCTTTTGGAGTAAACCTTTTCCTCCTTATTGAATAAGAAAAATCAGTCAATGATAGAATCGTGTTTTCATTCGGGTGTGGGACTTGGAGCAAGTAGTGTTAATAACTTAATTTAAGGTTGAGATCTTGGGATGCGATTGATGTCATTAAGTTGTCAAATTGTGTGCATCAATTAAATAGTGCTCATCAATGATCATTAGTTTGGATTCAGAATGTCTGCAGAGAATTCTTGATTTTTGTTATTACTTAGTTGAGTGACTCCTACTAGGAGAACTATGATAAAGTTAACTTCCTTCCCTCCTCAGCTTTTGGTTACTTCCCCTGATCGCCATTCCTGACATTTAGAGGGGAAAAGATGATGTCTATTAATACAGAGTGTCTTCTACTCTGATGGCCAATTATATCGATGTAGTAGTAGGTTTTTATCCTCAAGCTCGTGGCAATTTCTGAATGATAGACTTTCACATGGTGCTGCAGCTTGTCTCCTGGGATGAAGGTGGTTACAAAACATCTGACAAGCCAATGCCCCGTGGAGAAGTGGTTGTTGGTGGAAGCAGTGTGACTGCTGGTTACTTCAACAATGAGGCAAAAACAGCCGAGGTCTATAAAGTGGGTACTATTGAAGTCTTTTTATATCTGGGAAGCAAACTTCTTCATTTTGTTTATTTATTTACTGTTTTTGTCATTTGCATTTGATTTTGTGATACAGGTTGACGAAACAGGCATGCGCTGGTTTTACACTGGTGACATTGGAAGGTTTCACCCTGATGGATGCCTTGAAATCATTGATAGAAAGAAAGATATCGTAAAACTGCAACATGGGGAATATATTTCACTTGGAAAGGTCAGCTACTTCCTGTTTTCCAGTAGAACAATAAATGATGTCTTTTAACGATTTCGTTCTTATTTCTAATATGCCTGGAAATGACACAAGGACTAAAAGCAGAACCACTCTTGCACGTGATTTGTTATAGGTAGAGGCAGCTCTCGTGTCGAGCAGTTATGTTGATAATATCATGGTGTATGCCGATCCGTTCCACAGTTACTGCGTAGCTCTTGTGGTTCCCGCTCGACAGGCACTGGAGAAGTGGGCCCAAGATGCTGGAGTTAAATACGATAACTTCAACGAGTTGTGTGACAAAACTGAAGCAACCAGTGAGGTTCAGAAATCACTATCCAAGGTTTGTTCCTTCTCAAACTTAAAAAAGACTTCATCCTAAGGTGATTGGCATAGAGTATTTCCTCAAAATATATATGAATTATGACTGGCGTGTAGGATGCTAAACATGTTATAATTATGGTGCATATTTTGGATAGTATCACTGGTGCATCAACAGAAAAGATGACTTGTTAAAGTTGATGCATTATACTAGGACAGCCATGTCTTTGATCCACTTTGCCTCTTGCGAAATCAACTTTTTTATAGTACTTTCCAAGATTGAGGATTGAAATACTGTAGGAAGCTTTGTACTGGTTCATTTCCTTCTAGATCTGCCCATCAAACCCTGTGATCTAATGGGTAAAAAATGTTGCAAATCTGTGAAATATCAGGTGGGAAAAGAAGCAAGACTGGACAAGTTTGAACTTCCTGCTAAGATCAAGTTATTACCAGAACCCTGGACTCCTGAGTCTGGATTGGTTACTGCCGCTCTCAAACTGAAGAGGGAGCCATTGAAGTCTAAGTTTAAGGATGAGCTACAAAAGTTGTACTCGTGAGGCTTTCTAGGCTTGTACTTTGCCTCTTGCCTCTTTCGACTGCCATGAGCATGCCAAATGGTTTCATGGGATGGTTTTTTTGGATGACCATTGCAGAGTTATATCTGCATTTGGCCATTTCTATAGATTACTGCACTACTTTTTTGGGGGCTTGTCTTAATGGATTAGTGATAGTTTTCAAGTAGTTATGGCCTAAATGCTTATGTACACAATAGGCGTAACTGTACTTTGAAGCGAAACATTCATACAGGCTTCCTATGATGATAATGATTAGAGTACGTGTGATGGATGTATTCCCTACTTTCATGGGCATTTTGCAACTAAGCTACTAACAAACATCTTGACTTTCGTTGCCTTGTCAGCGCTTTGTTTTTCTGAGAATCAACGGATTGGTTGGATTAGTTAATGTTTCACCAATTTGATCGCTTTCAATTCTTCTTATGCTGCGCGTTGGCTAGCTATTTGCTGGCACGGTTGATGTATTTGCATATCCGCCGAGGGGATTAATTAGATACACTGATATATGCAGTTCAATGCATGTTCACAAGTTTTGTCAGAATTTTAATTATAACTGGTTTCTGAACAAATTCTGCAATTCGCAGTATCATAATATAAATATGGTATCCCTGCATTAGTATATCATATCGTCGACCATTATCTGTAATCACAGTAAAAAGAGAATATGATGAATTTACAACATAAAACACAATTTTGCTTCCCAGAAGTTCCATATTTACAAAACAACCTTTCAAAAGGACCTGTTAAGGTCAAGTTTTGAAACCAAATATGACAGGTAATTTTAAGAACTAATACGGGCAAAACCTGTTCGGGCCTTCAAAATTTAGAGTAAGGACCCAAAAGGAGAAAAAGAAATTGCAAGACCACCACTGCATAAGTGCAAACTTCCAGATTCTAGTCTGCTGCTAAAGAAGACCCGGTCGAACAACAAGCTTTCGATACTACCACGTAAGTTGCACTCACCAGCATCATAGTTTGACCTTGAATCAACTGAAAATCCCTTCTGGAGATGCTCATAGTAACTCTTCATAGTGTGTTCAGATTTGACATTTTCTTTTGGTCTTGAAGCAAAAGAAAAGTGGTAGGCCCGATGGCTTCTCCCACTTGTAGTTCCTTCAACATCTTCTCTGGAGGAAACTCTTCTACAGCTCCTGTCTGCTGTCAAATCAAAATCCTCACAGCACTGCATAAGCTGATTGTGAGCATCCATCTTCTGTGAATAGCAGCAATATAGAAATGTGTACTCAGTGACCAGAAGTTATTGTAACTACAACAAGAAAAGTTCGGTCTTTAAATCATTAAAAAAAAAGTTGGAACACTATAATGTAGAATCACTTATCAACCATCATTGCTTTAAAATTCCAGAATACTAAAAAGAACACCATTACCATAGCAGCAACAGGAATAATTAATGAGAGTCACAAAGTTGTACCATATGTTGAATATTTACAGGTACGGAAACCGCTTCCAAAGGACTTTACCCAATAACCCTTTTTTGTCATGTAATCTATAAGGGCAAAGCAGGCAGGAAATCACTAGAATAAGAGGAAAGAAAGCTAGTATTTGAAGGTATGGAGAAAACCAAAAAGGGACAAGGAAATCCAAGAGAATGCAATGGAAATCAATAGCTTCAGAAGAGGTCATATTCTGAGGCACTTTAGAGGACTGCAATAGACAAATTCATGCATAACGCTGGTGACTGTTGCATTCAAGTAAAAAAATCTACTAATGGCCATTTCTTTTTATGACCCTAAGTCAACAGAAAATATCGTCTCATATGGTCCTAACGTGGTTTCGAACAGAATTAGTACATGTGAATCTCAACAAATTATCACACATGAATCTCAACCAATTATCATATTTATCAAAACACTAAGCATGTGAAGCTGACCTTTCTGTTGTTAGAGGAATAGTCAGGCACATATATTGATGCACTGACGCTGGAACTTTGTTGAGGTGTAGACAAAGTATCATAAACTGGAGTGGAGAATCCAACACTAGCAGATATAGGCGGTGGATCTTCGGGTGAAGAGAAGTCTGAACCATCAAAAGTTGATATAGACACACATTCATCAAAATACGCCATAGCTTCTTCAGTAAGGCGTTTTGAAATCCTTTTCCTTTCAGTGCTCCTCTGCATTAATGAATGTAGGTCATGCCAGAGAACAAGAAAATGATACTTCACTGGTGAAGATAGAGACCATTGAATACCAACTACAGTACTGGAAGAAAATTAGTTTTATAATTAGTAAGAGGTTTTAATACTGTTCGAAATCTTAGGTCATATATATGCATTACTCAGCAGTATTAGGTACAAATAAGGATGTAATCAATTAACATGCATAATCAAACATTTACATCTTTTCGTACAAATTGCATCGTCTATCATCCTGTAAATTCAACAGGGTGCTTGCTTAGGTAAGTTAAGCAAAGTCAGGAAAAGAAAAGACAGAGAGAATAAGAGAGAAGAAAGAAGACAAGAAAAGGATAAATTGAAGCTAAGTATCTAAAAAGTAGGGAAGGGGAAGGAAGACAATAGGAAAAAGCTAAAAGAAGAGAGAGGAGACCAAAATGAAGTATTATTTTGAACTCATTTTGATGTACTATTCTTGAATGAAGTTTCTGAAATCATATATGTTCAGTGTCTAAGATTTTAATGAACTAACAGTCAGGAAACTGACCCACCTTTCTTCCCATTCGAGAGTTCTGGGGGTTAGATGTCTGATGATCAGGAAGAGTTTCCTTGAGTATTCTACTGAATTCCTGTCTACGCTGCTCTTCTATAGCCAAGTCAGCTCTAAGTTTTCTTGCTCGTTCTTCAGACTGCATTAAGTAATTACAATTTGGCAATTACGGCTCAGGGAATTGTGCTCAACAAACATGATAAAATTAGAGACTAAATAATATACAGATGAGATAACCTCAGCAAAATGAAATGAAACTAAGAACTACTCATAATTCAAAAATAATTCAGCGAGACCAATTCTCTAACTTTGCAAATGCATTGATAATCATCAGATACTAGCCCATCATCTTCCTTCACTATGTACCTAGATTTGCAAAGTAACATGTAGAGGAATACATGCAGATGATACACACAATCTAATATCAGCTTAGCCCAAGAAGGGAAATACCGCTACTTGACCCAAAAATTTCATATTAAAGCTGATTTTGATTAAGATTAAAATATGCATATGAAGGCAGATCTTGATTAAGATTAAAATATGTAATTTAATTACCTCTTCAAGTTTTCTGGCATATTCTCTTCTGATGTCCAAAACCACTTCGACTGGCTGACCATTGACCAGGTCAGGTGGTGTATCAGTGTTTGCAATACCATTGATATTAGCCTGAAGTATGATACAAACTTACTCAATCAATATACTCTAAGCAACTTGAATAAGCCAATGCACAGATTTAAAACAGAAGGCTTGTTTTGCATCAGAATGTCCAGTTAGAGTTTGATTAGTGGTCCTAGGATTGCAACCATGTGTTCACAAAAAAGAGGTCAGGTAAAATAAATCGTTGATGGATCCTCGTGAGGGTCAAGCATTGTGTATGAGTTCAATATAATATGCATCTCGATTCTCATAAGGACATCGAAATGTAAAATCGGTAAGACAAGCATGTGATGGGGACAAATGGTTGAAAAATACTAAGTATTATACTAGGAGGGGTTCTAAAGCTCAAAGGCTTATATGGAATCGTCTTGGTGAGAAAAGAGTCTTCCTGGGAGCTTGAATAAGCTGCTGGAAATATTTTAAGTTATTTTCATATTTAATTTTCAGTATTTTAGTATAAGGATATTTTAGTACTTTTGCATTGCTGCAGGATTTTCTAGAATAAAAAGGAAATTAGGTATGAATACTAGTTGTCTTTGGTTTAGGTTAAGTTTTAGGCCTATTTATATGTACCTCATATGAGGAGAATATTCAGACTATGATTAATAAAAATTCCTGCGTGAAGCTTTGCTTTTGCAATTGTTGTGTGATACAACAAAACCCTTGGTGTGATGCCTAAGATTCCTGCGGTGTGACGCCAAAGGGCCATAAGAGTGATTCTTAGGTTTTCTTCTCTTTTCCTACTGTTTTCTTCTCTATTCCTGCGATTGCTAAGCTTGTTTCCTACAGATTCTATTAGTTTTCCGCTGCGTACTACTCTTTTAATCAGCCTAAGTTCTGAATTTATTAACCACCACGTTTTGTCCTGCGTCAGCATGTGATAAAATTTGGAAGAGCAATTCAAATAAAGCTTGCGCTAATGTCTCCCATCAGTTGGGTCGTAATCCTTATTAGTATCATATAGTTGAGAACTCGAACTATTTTAGTTACCTACCATTTAATCTAAAAGCTATCCTGAATTTAAACTATTTGATTTGAGAAATTACAAAACTCTTCCAAAGTTCCACGCAAGCCAGCTATATATATCATTTGTCGCAATACTGTATGAATGCATAATTAGTCAATAATTCTAGGAAATTGTCACATATGGACCACTTAGAATAGGTTGGAATTCAAATGTAAATGTGGGGAAGGATTATAAGGAGTGTGATAAGGTTCATGGGGGTTACGGTTTTGGATTGAGAAACAATGTTGGTAAAGAAAAAATAAAATTAGATTAATGAATAAAGACATTTAGTCCTTCATTTTTGAACTTTTTAAATATTAAGGCAAAATGAGAACCAAAACCTAAAGAAAAATACATTGAAATTGCAAATGGTTCTTGAGTCACAGATTTCTTCTTACCCCAAAAGAGTGATAGAACATTTTCCTCCATAAAGTCTTCCTACCCGAGGAATAAAAGTATAGAAACCTTTTCAATGAAATTACAAGAAAACAACAGAAGAATAAAGAAGAAAGTTGGCCCTGCACTAACAAAAAATAGCTGGCAAAGAAAGAAAGTTGCAAAGTCGAATAACTTTAACCACTAATATCCATCATTCACTCATAAAACACACTTCAAACAACGTTGAGCCTCAACTACCATTGCTTGCAAGATAAGGGTTTCTCCCTAAACATGTGTACAGGCATCGACAGGATATCCCAGCTAGACATATTGCTGACCAAACCCAAAAGGCAATGCACATGTATATTATATTGAAATATAGAATCTTGATGAAGCACAGTCACAGGCTCACAGAAGGATAAGTGGAAAAGATTTACAAGATTCATATTAAGAACTTGAAATGATACCATAGTACGTTTTAATCAACTGAAGTAGATGTTTTTTTTTTGACAAACAACTGAAGTAGAGTTATTCTTTAAAGAAAATGATAATTTTTCATTGTCTGGTGTTTTTCATTACATGAACCATAACCTTTTTGTTTCATGGATAATTTTCAAATCTGCTGGTACCAATTATCTTGGATGAATGATGTATCATGACCTGAAAGTTAATATTGAAGATCCTTCAAAAAAGACACGGTACCAATATAGCAGGAATGCTGAAGTTTCCCGCACTGTATTGTTAAGAGAATCCCTCTATAAAGTTCATTAAAAGCTTCCCCATTCCTTATTCTTTCGATTATTGACATTTAAGTAGTTCAGTTTTCTAATTAAATCCAGACATCATCCTTTCATCTGAAGATTTTAGTTCTCAATGGGAAATGAAGGATCACTTAGGTGTGGGGACGTGCCAGGAATATGCATGTCAAGAAACATTTTTAGATGTCTCTAGAATCAAAGATGCCAACAAATATGAAACATTGGGCACATCCATAGAGTAACTATAACAAATTCACTTGTATAAATAAATAAAAGGAATACTAAGAAAAAGAAACCGTACACTTCCAATGTTATTTTGGATGTCACAGAGAGCACGTCTGACTTCAGACTGAATAGTTTCATATATTCCACTTGCAGTAGGATTACCTGCATATTGATTTTCCTGCATAGACCACATATCAGAAATATAAGCAAAGTATTAGAGCAAACTATATGAAGAAAAATAAGACCTACTGTAAGCATATACTTTATATTAATAGTTATGGTAAAAGCTTTAGTTCACAATTTAAAGATCTGAATTATACAATGGGTAGTAAAAGTTTACGGGAACCTACCCTCACATTACTGTAAACAGCTTTGGCGACTCTATCTTCAGCTTCCGACAGTGAACACGTTGAAGTTCCATCTTCCCAATTCGAGAATTGAAAGCTGCACTGGAGAAACAAACATCTATCAAAATGATACTTGTATCATGGTAATGTCTGACAATCTTCCATTTACCATCTAAATACTCACAACAGAATCGTCTTCAGAACACTCGGTTGCTTGGCACTGACTGCCCGTGACTTTCGGACTTACTCTTGATCTCTGTACATCAGCACCATTTCTAACTCTATTTACAAGTTTAGAATCATAAGCTGTTCGTTTGGAGTAACCATTGTAGTCAGTATTAGTCATCATGGCCACCTCGAGCTCCTTTTCACTCTGTCATTGAATAATTACATCATATCATTAATAAAAATACGAGATAGATGCTGCAAATACCAGATAAAATCAGTTAAATACTTACACAACAATATAAAAAGGTAGAGGATTCCACCGTACACTCAAATCAGGAGTTGAATTCTTTTGCAATTTTGATGGTATAAAAGCAGAGTTTGAACTTTCAACTGTAATAGACCAAAATTTAGTGCACATAACTGCATCATATGCTCAGAACTGAAAGTAACCAGTACAACCAGCCTTGCTGAAAGAGAAAGCTGCAATAGCAGGCCTATTTACATCGACAATTGTAGGGTATGATGCCCACTTTGAGGGGTGCATTTAGAGACCAGAAAAGCTACATACTCCTTTTCTATTAGCAAATCCACCTTACGAATACCAGTATGAATCAAGAGTTAACCAAGGAATTCTTTGTTGTTTATCACTTCCCTCACCTTCGATCTCTTTTCAGGGACTATAGTTTTTATCCCACTTATTCCACGGCTTAGACATAATTAACATCACAATAGAGCAGTTACATACCTACAAGACTTATCTATGTTCCAACTATAAAGAACCTCCTGTTGTCTCACAACCGAAAAGAAATCATTACACATTGAGAGTAGGTATTACCCAAGAGTAATGATCTCTTACATCCCTTTTCTGAAGAAAATAGCCTATATATGGATGGCGACATAGGAGTTCATGAATTTAAGATCACCAGCAAAAGGATCATCTGCAACCTATCTAGAAGTTGAATATCGAAATTAAGATGAGATAGACTACCAAAAAAACCATTGTATAAAGCCTATAAATAAAATCACAGCTCTTCCTCCTTTTCAAGTGCTGATAAATGACTGATCCCTAAAGGTTGGTTTTTGTATAATTCAACCTCCTGTAAAGCTTTTCCTTTTTCCTCCCCAATTGTAAGTTACTAAATCATCAGAATTCTGCAGTGTCTTTCCAATGTAGGAATCAGAAGTTCAAGGGATCAATTGTTTTTCCCCGAAATCAGTGATCGGTGTATTACTACCCAAAAAAAGGAAAGCAAAGTTCCTCCTTAAACAAAACATTTACAGTTCACCCTGAGGTGCATAACCTTAGGATAATACATAATGGTGAACAACAAACTCACATTCCTATTAAAACTAATAATGTTCAAATATTTTTCGACCCGATCTTTTATGATTTAAGCTATAAATTATGAGGAATCGTGCATAAACACAAAGGGAACAATCCAAATACCAAAAAGGAATGGCAGTTAAAAAAAAGAAAGGGAATGGCCGATAAAGAACTGAACTTCAAGGAAATTTAGGAACAAGACTACCTCATAGGAGGCGCCACGGGGTGCTCGGGACACCGACCTCCCACGAACTCTAGACAAGCTACGCCCAATTCCATTTCTAACCCCAGAATTCCTCTGAAAAGATCGCCCCCTCTCAGCAGCGTTATTGGCACCAGAAGCTGAGTTAACGGTACTCTCAACAACCCGTTTCAGATTTTCCCTTCTGGTACTGATCCCATCAATTTCTTTATCATCAATAGTGGGAGAAGTGGAAGACGAAGAAGCGGAGGAATTCAAGAAGAGCGGGTTCTCTATTTTGTTGAAAACCTCTGAATTAGTAGTAATGTCAACGGCCTTTTGGGCTCTGGAGAAAGCGCTGACGCTTTGGGATCGCTTCCTTGTGGAGGGATTTGGCTGGGAATTCCGAGGAAATGTGGTGGTGGGATTTTGATTTCCGCGCTTGGAGGTGGATTTGAAGGCGGCGGTGGCCATGAGAACAATCTGATTACTCTTCTGAACAGATTAGTACTACTAGTGGGAATTTCGAGGAAATGAGAAAACAAGAAGCCCTTCTGCCTTCACAGTTAAAGACAGAAAAGTTTGGGAAATGTCAAATTTCAAACAACAATTCAAGCGTCATTTTCTTCAATTGGAGGCGCCATTTTCAGAAGAGATTTATTCCATTATTAAAGGCTTCATTAATGGTGTGCTACTGTGCTAGCTGCTAAGGCTAAGGATTTGGACTAAAATGTTCCATAATCATAGTTTGTTTCTAAAAATGGAGGCTATTGACGTGGGAACACAAAAATCTGATCAAAGAAAGAGTCAGTAATTATGCCGTTGATTTGATGATGATGAGAGGGGTTGAAACTGAAACACCATTGATGATGTTAAAGTTAGGATTATTTTTGTTGAAAATTCGTAAATGCGTGTTTTCGGATAGAATAACAGTCGGTAAATTTTGCCAAAACACTTACTAGGACTATCAATTCGGGTGGTGGTTCGATCGATATTTGATTCGGGCCAATTGGATTTTGTCCTCAAAAAAATTATCATAAGCCAAACGGCAAAATTAATTTACCAAATCAATCCGAATAAAGCAATCGAGTTCTCGGTTCGTTGTATGATTCACCCGAATTCAATGCAAGCCCTAATTGAACAAAAAATCATAATTTCAAAATTCAATTTACATCGTTTCAACATTTCCTGAACTGAATAATTTCGGCACCTTCGAATATCAGTAGAATACAATACATTCGACAATACATTTGACATTCAAGGTTCAAACTTCAAAATCCGAAACCCAAACTACAATACATTCGACTTTCGAGTTTTGACGGTTCAAAAGTTCAAACAAGTAGTGACGCTAACAGTCAACTACCGCTCCACAGTCCATTGTCAATAATAAATTAAACAATTTTAAGTTCCATTTCAGAAATAAAAACAAAAATACAGTCATACAGACTTGTAAAAATTTCATTTTTAACTTCAGTGATTAGTCTTCACTCTTCAGTCTTCAACACTAAATTGATCAATTTGGCCGTCTTCAACTTCAAGTTTTCAACAGTTTACAGTTCAAGTTCAATAGTTTAACAGACTGCAAGAATAGGTAATCTGGAATAAGCAAATCTGCAAATTCAAAAATACAACACATTTTCAACATCTTGATTTTAGCTTATAACAACCATGAAAAACATGTATATAAGCTCAAAAGCTAAGTAAAACTTACCATTGAAGTTCAGTTCAGTTCGAATACGGAAAATTCTAGCTCACCCCAATTTTCTTTTCCTTTTCAGTAATTGAAAAAAAGAAACAAACAGTCAACATTCAAACAATTCTATGGAATAAAACTGAAAATACCGAAATTCAAAATCACAAATGACTTTAAAATCATTGTAAATTTCTTAAATTCGTAGGGGATCTTCTCAGCTTTCTTCAATGTCTTGATCTTCTTCTTCAACAAAACCCGAAGCTAATATGAGGGCAAATCAAGGACTGAACAGTCTTTAGAATTAAAGAACTCCTAAATGCATCTAATACCTTCCCGCTGGTACTAAAAACAAATTCGGAAGCCACAGAAGATACAAGTAATGCAAAAAAATCACAAACTATCAGAGAAAGGATAGGAAATATAGGGTTGTTAATCTTTCACCAGTTCAGTAATTCAAATGTTGAACTACCTGGTTTATCGTCCTCCATCAAATATTTGTCCAATTCTGATTTTTTATCATTTCCCCACTAGCTACTTGATTCTTTTTCTTCAAAAACTCCATTCTAAATCTATCTCTAAGTATCTTCAAAGGCTCGATATCAATCAGGGAAGACCTTTTTCCCTATGAAGTAGTTTGAGAAGAACTAGAATCGGAATTGGAGGAAGGCAAATTAGAACTAGGTTGAAGGGAGCATGGATTCTCACATAATCCGCAAAAAATTCAAATATAGCTCTTTCAATCAATCAAAATTCCTTTTTTCCCATCAAATTTCCCATAAACATCAACAAGTACAACTTCCAAGTAAGTCAGTTTATATCTTGGATTGAAAACACATGATCGGTCACTTCAGCCATAACTTTTTGACCAAGATCTTGACCTTGATTAATGATTTTTTTTAGCAAAATACCAATGCAAGATCAGTACAAATAAAGAATCTAAAGACAGATTTGGACCTCGTAAAAATGCTGAAGTAGACTAGCCACCCTCCTTGCTTCCATCCAATCCAATGAAGTAGGCAGCCCAGGCCTGAAATTAGCACCTCATGATCATATTTAAGAGTGTCTCTATAATGTTTTACTAGATTCATATCTCCTAAAGGCTCTTTCATAGACTTGAGCAGTTTCCAGCATTAAATATGTGGAATTCCAACACCTAACACTAAATTTTTAGAATTATTACACTTCTCAATTTCAACACATTTTCTAAAATTTATAATTCTTTTAGGAGACTGCTTAATATACTTAACTATAGCCTGATGACAGTAAAATATATATACTTTTTGCAGGCATTTTCTACTCATTTCTAATTAGAATTAGGTGTCAATTAATTAGAATTAGTTTACTTTTAGGTTGATTTTGCATTCCAGGATAATTAAGGGGCCAATGTGAAAATCAGCATAAATGAGGGCCAAATTGCAGAAAAGAGCATCATTCTAGACTGAATTGGAAGCAGATGGAATTCAGGCTGTTGGAAGGTCGATAAGAGCTGGAGCAAGTGGAGAAATCTTTGCTGAGGAAGGAAGAATGACAGCAGATGATCACAACTTGGAAGAATCTGCAGCAGCACACTCAATTGAGAGGAAGAAGGGCAGCTACTCTGCTGCCAAATTGCTGCTGCAGTAGCTGTTGCTGCTGTCAATCAAAGAGGAGTCACGAGCTGAAATCTTGATGCCCATGGACGGAAATTGCTTTGCCATCACTACAAGTTGTTGCTGTTGCAAGTGGAAGAAGAGAAAGAGGGAGAATATGTGAAGAACAGCAGCTACAACTCTGTTACTTACCAACTGATGCTGCTGCTGAAGTGATGGATTGGCTGCTGTAGAAGGTGAGCAATGGTGTAGCAACTGACCTAGGAAACAAGGAAGAAAAGGGTAGAATATTAAGGATGAATTGGGGGTTGGAAACATAATGATGGAAGGAAGCATGTTGTTGATGTTGCTGCTTACTAACTACTGCAAATTGAGCTGTGGAGAATAAAGAATGAAGAAATGGAGATTTGTGGCTACAAATGGTGAGAAGGCGCTGGAGAAGAAGACTAAAGAGAAGCAGCAATGATGAGTAAAAGGTGGCTGATTGCGACTGAAGAAGGAAGGAGCTGACCAGAGAAGGCATTGGGCAAGTTGCTGAATAAACAAATGCCTTTGGCTGCTGCAACTTGTTGTCTCCTCTTATCTGCTGCAAAGAAGGTCAAAATTCACCAATTCAAGCCTCTCCAAATCTCTATAAATAGTTAGCCAATATCAGTAGTTAAAGGAGGACAGATTGGGTAGTTAGAATCAGTTACAAAAATAGTAGTTAGGTAGTTGGTTAGAAACGGGATAGTAGCAGGAGCAGGAGTGCAGCCTGTCACTCTGTCAAGTGGCGAACGCCACTCGCCTAAGTGAGCAGACAATAACTGCCCTGCTACCATCTTTTCCTTTTATCCTCTAACCTTTTGATCTTAAGTTATGTATTATCTTTTGCACTCTGTTGCTCTCATGTTTAACTCAATAAACATGAGTATCTAACTCAGTTAAAGGGTTAAATCTCGACTATCTTTATGTGAAGGTTTTGATTCAGTTTTCCTTAATGAGGCATTGTTTCTAGTTTAAGTGCTTAAATTAAGCTTTTGATTAAACTGGCCACTTAATTAAATGTGCATGTATGTTATGGAAATATGAGAGGGCAAACATAACTAGAACGTCTTAAATTAGTTTATGACGAAGGAGGAAATCTACCTTTTGATTTCAATCATCAACGAGAGTTAGGTGATTGGTATAGGTGATCAATAGGGCTTAAGAACTAAATGGCTTAGATTAATCTCAATAATCTAACTGAGAGGTAGATAATTTGGTAATCTAAGACTCTTTACTCTGTCTGGGAAGAATTGTAAAGAATATATGTGCCCGATCAAACAATAAATCATACACTGCAAGTTTGTTGGAATCAAAACTGGATCATGAAGATAGAAAGGTGATTGATCATTCTGTCTCTTCACTCTGTCAAGTGACTATTCTCACTCTCCCAGGTGACAAATCTGTTCATCTCTTTTACTTTCTTTTCTTTGCACTTTAATCAGATTTTGAGCGGTTGACTGCCGTCTCTGTGGAACAACCCTGTTTACCACCAGCTAATAGTTTTAAGTAGGTTTTATAAATATTCTCTTTGGGGTTGAAATCAATGACACTCATTTCACACCACCACAGCCCTAATCCTTTCTACAGACTTACCTATATAGTCCAAACCATCATTAATAACCAGATATATAACATGAGCCACATAACGAACATGCAACCATTTTGTACCCAAAAGATTTTTTCTCGGTTAGGAAATTGCTCTAGCAAATACTCCATCATAGTGACATTAGAACTAGTATTATCGATAGTAATTGTAAACACATTTTCAATTTCCCAATCCAACAAACAATCTTCAATTGCGGTCCCAATATCAACACCGTTATGAATTGAAATAGGCAGAAACTTAAGATTTTCTTTTTAAATTCCGATTATTATCCATATAATGGCTAGAAAGACACATGTAATTAACTTCCTGTAAAAAGTCCATCTATACGTTGTTAAGTAGATTTTACTAACATTTCCTTTAATCGCAAGCTTCAGTTTTTCCTTCTCAGCTAAATATAACTTATAACAGTCATCATCTACAGTTTGTCTACTCTTTGGAACATAAAATGGTTGTAACTTTCACAGAAAATACCTAAACCTTTTTTTCTAAACAAATATAAAAGAAAGCTCACCAACAATGATCATATAGAGAAGTGCCCTAGTGATTTCTTCTTCATTATACTTTTAAGTACCTACATTTCCTGGTTTTCCATTCCCATCCTCAATAACCAACTTACTTTGACTAAGATCATAATTTAGAGATAGTATTTCTTCCAAACTAACAAATGGCCACAAAGACTACTTACTCCATGTTTTTACTGTCAGCCATATACTTGTTACCACAGTATTTACATGAATCCAACAGATCACCTTTCTCATCATAAAAAGTAAATAACAAGGTCATACCGTAGACCTTTTACGGCTTACTTTGTGTTGCTTTGAAGGTTTTGGAACATCAGCTTGACCTTCACCTATTCTCCTCGTTTCAATCTTTACATCGATCATCTGTGCATCATCATTAGGTAAATCCTGTAGATAAGGCAGTGAACCTTTCTCAACCTCGATCTCCTCAATATCATCATCAACCTGAGACATCTAAACAAAAAGAGAAAATAATTGGTTCCCATTTGACACTCAGTCTGTCAGACACAACCACGGAAGCTCACACAACTACACTGTCAACACAGCTAATATAATGTAAAGAAATTACACATAGTAAAAGGTTTTTGTCTCATACGTTACAAACCACAACAAACTTCAATGAATTCATTTTAATAATTTTAAATTTGCTGAGTTAAAGCTTCCAAATACAATGCAGAAGGCAAAATGAATAAACACTCAGAATAATGCCCCTCATTTAAGTATGTGAACTAGCTTAAAAGCCAAGCATAATAAGAACATGTTGCACGTCATTCATACATTTATGCATTATTCAAATTTACACATCATTCACACCTCATTCTATCATTCATTGAAGCAAAAGAATAATTAAATAAATAGAAGGTGATACACTAAACATGCAATAAAAGATGAAAATTTGAAAGGGGAAAAATGCAGAGAAATACACACACACATATATATGTACGTTAATGACTGATGAAAAAATATATATGTACCTTAAGGACTGATGAAGGAAACCTACCAGAGATGAGAGATCTATGAATGTGACAACCCAACTCTCCAGCTCGATTAAAAATCATGTCTGATGACTAAATGAGTCGCCGGCCGGACAATCTCTCGCCCAAGGCTTTGTGGAACAGAACTAATTAAGCTATTACATGTTCAAACTTCTAAATTTTCACAGCGGAAGACTTAACTATAACAGAAGATGTTTCCAAAATTTAATACAATCATGTACAACTTAGAGTAAACAAATTCTAATACAATTGAAGTCACAAATAATTTAGATTAAAGAACAGTCAAATGGGTATTTCTTTATCACGCCAAAGCTTTACGGAAACTTGGCTCACTTGCTAACCTGTGGTGGAAAAATTATTGGGATGAGCTAATAGCCCAGTGAATACCTCAAACAACAACCCCCAGTCTCTCACACTCCATACGGTAATCAAGTTACATGCACATGCAGTTATTCACACAGTTCATTTTCATCCATCATTTTCATTTATTAACATTGTCTACAAAGTTCTATCAATATAACTGTTAGACTAACATTATCTACGCGATGAATTGCATTTGAAAAAGAAACATTCAGTCACATTAGCACATAAAAGATGACCATATCCAAGGCCATTGACATATTCTCATGAGGATACGAGTGGATCTTAACTGGAGACTGCCGAAGACCTATGTGGTCTTTTGGGTTGTCTTCCAAGTTAGATTCCCAATTGGTGTTCAAGTTACATTTCAAATCCAATAACAATAACCCGTCACTCCAAGTGGCCACAACAATCAAGTACTCGTAGCTCGTGCACGCCTACTAAAGCTATCCATAGTCTATCCATACGTCTGTGTCCAATGCCGACCCGTTGGATTCGATCTATGGTAGCGGGGCCCCGAGACTGGTGTGATAATGTACACATCCAAGTCTCAACAATTTCATGGCAATTCATTCACAAATATTCTTTACAAGACAGATCAGGACAGTAGCGATTCTCGGTGTGATAAAGTACACAACCGAATAGAAGGGCAAGCAACTCAATTCAATTAACACATAAACAAGTAATACCATTACAATCACGTATCACATGTTCAAGTAGAAGCACCAAGCTTGCACTTCAATCAAGTAAAAGCACAGAAGCACTCAACAATCATGCACTGAGAGGGGGAGACAAGGTTACAATATAGAGCGTGAGAGGAGATACTCACCTTTGCCCTTTAATTCACTGTGACCGCCCACAAAATCTGTTAATGGAATATTTAAAATTGTTATGCTTTCATAGTATTCTAAAACTAGACAATTAGCTGTATTATATATTCCTATGATGCTTGTCTAGTAATTGATTTCTAAGCTGCATCTCCTAGTAATTGAGGTGTCGTCATTCAGTTTATAGGTTATGGCTTAAACTTCAACGAACAAGGATGGAAGTAGATGAAATACCTATAGAAAAAGAGTAAATGATCAAAGGAAACATAGTCTCAAATCGGCAACTCAATCTGAGGTTCTGAAAATTCAGCAAGACTAATGGTGAAGGGTAATATTAGAAGTACATTTTTAGTCAAACCAAGGATCCAATTTACAAGCCGTCAAAACCTTTATAAACTAGGGTAAACAAGGAAGGGTACTGACTGAAGAAATCAGGAACAACAGTTCAGAAACCGGAAGAAAAATGATCTACAAAACAGCACATCAGGGCTGAAATTTTGAAAATTCCAGAATCAGTCATTCAAATTCAAATTCAATTTTTGGGCAATCTATAGCTCCATTTTACAATCCGTAAAATTCGTAATAAACGTCAGTGAATATAGAAGAAATCCTCTAAAAGGAATATCCAAAAAAAATTCATGAAAGGGGAGAAACAAATCTCCGAAGATAACAGCTACAGATAAGTTTCAGGAAATTTTCAGAATGGACATGTCATATAGAAAAATGAGTTTTCAGCTAAACCACTATTCCTTTTGGCAATCCATAAAACCTGAGTTATACTACAATGGATGGAGAAGATGTTCGTTAAAAGAAATCCCAAAAAAGAATTCCATAGCTCTGAGAAAAAGGCTTGACCACAGAGGGGTTCAAATCTGATTTTTTTTCTGCAATTTTCAGCAACGATAATGTCATGTTCAAATGGGGTTTCCGGAAAAATTAGAAGTCCGTTTTAGAATCCGTAAAAACCACATCTAAGTAGACTGAATGAAGAACAGTTTCATGTAAAGAATTTTCATGAAACAGTTTAGTCAAGAGGAGAAACGAATCTCCAAAAGCTGCAGCACAACACAGAATTTCAGAAAATGGTGATCATGTTCAAATCCTATTTTCGGACTATCTACAAATCCATTTTGCAATCCGTAAAAACCTGGATAAACGACACTGAATGAAAAACAAATTCATGAAAAGAAATCCCAGAAAAGAGTTCCGAAGCTATGAGAAAAAGGCCTAATAACAGAGATCCCAAATCTGAATTTTTTCTGCGTTTTCGGAAAAAGGGAGAATGACATGTCTAGTTTTAATCAAGTTTTCTGAAAGTCAACAAAGTCAATTCACAAACTATAAGAATGAATAATCAACCTTGAAGTATGATAGCTAAACCAACCAAACTTTGGACAGAGATGACCACCAAACTACGAAGTTCAAAGGCTCAGGGTTCACTACTTGAGTCTAACAATTTCTTTTGTCCTAAACTCTAAGATTGCATCCAATTCAGAATTCCTATTATGTTCAATAACTTTTAAGCTACATATGAGTTTTCAAATAAATTCCAAGCCACTGAAATGCCACAATTAACAATCCTTTACACATATACATCGTATGCAATTCAAGAACTCAAGTATTGGCCAAATAACTATTGCTCTACGTTTGCAATTTATTCAATAACTCAAAACTAGGAATTGGTAGTGAGATTTCCAGAATTCTTACCTCTTTCGGCCGCTAATAAACAGCCCTAATGCTCTTCAATCTCCCCTCCTTCCTAGTTCGACTTGATCAACTACTTTTAACCTTCTTCTTCCTATTTCCTTCCTCGGCCTTCCATTTTTCCTCAATTAGAAAGCTCCAGCTCTCTTTATAATCTTTTCCCTTGGTTCAAGTTTTCTGTTTTACAAGTTTAGAAATGGTGAGGGATGATGGAAGTTGTGGTCAGCGGTGCATGCAAAAACAAAGGGAGTGGACACGTGTGTGTGTTTGGGCGGTGGGAGGAAACAGAGGAGATGAGGTTGATACTTGATTCTGGAAGGATTTTTGGCTTTAAGGAAAAACAAATCTTCTCCCTTTTTAATTTTACCCCGCTGAGAAGGGATTTTAGCAACTAAAATAAAAATAGAAAGCATGTGTGGGCTGATTATGAAATGAGAAGTGTGTTTGGGAGCTTTTACATTTTCTTTCTTTGTCATTGGTTCCATTTGAGTTAAGAAAGAAAACATAGGAGATTTCCTAACGTGTGCCAAAATTGGAGAATGGAGTACGGTATAACACTTGGGCTAACAATGATAATTGGACTAAAAATATAATTTGGATAGTACATGTATTATTAGTAGTTCGCAATATATCTCGTAATTTAATTTAGGCCATAAAGTATAAACTCCTAAACGACAGTACCATCTCGAGACTCTACACGTGACTTCACCTAAATATGTATTTAGTCAACTTAAATCACGTCAAGGTTTCGGGTCCGTCACAATGAAGGTCTGGCCATTGGTCTGCTATGGGAATGGGGAAACTCGTCGGTTAAATCCACTGATCCAAATCCTTTCTTCTTCATTTCTTCTTCATCTTTACTGTTTTTCTTCAAAGAAGTCCTCAATCTTGCCCTTCAAACTTTCAAGCAACTAAATAGAACTAAAGACTAAAACAACAATATGGTGACGAAACAACATTTCCCCTTTGGTTTGGACTTTTGGCTTCGATTTGGAGAAATTTTGACAGATCAATAGCCTTAGCTAACGAGATCTAGAAAGTGAAAACTGGGAGGTGATAACTTGATTGGTGGTAGAATTGGTGGATTGTAGAGGTGGGACGTGGGAGGTGAAGCCTTGGAGGTGGGATTATGTCTGGAAACGGAAGTCGGCGATGATTGGTGGTAGGTTGTACGGGATGTATCTTCTATTGGGCTAGATTTTCTTCATCAATAGCATGATTAATATAACCAGAGGAGGAGGCAATAGTCAACAGTGGCTGATGAAGGATTACCAGAGATGAGAGATCTATGAAGGTCTGGCCATTGGTCTGCTATGGGAATGGGGAAACTCGTCGGTTAAATCCACTGATCCAAATCCTTTCTTCTTCCTTTCTTCTTCATCTTTCTTTTTTTTTCTTCAAAGAAGTCCTCAATATTTCCCTTCATACTTTAAAGCAACTAACTACAACTAAAGATCAATAGCCTTAGCTAACAAGATCTGGAAAGTGGAAACTGGGAGGAGATAGCTTGATTGGTGGTAGAATTGGTGGATTGTAGAGGCGGGAAGTGGGAGGTGAAGCCTTGGAG